GGTTTTTACCATTGAATGCAGGTAGTTGGTACCAGACACTGCCAGACTATGGATTCGGCACACGTGTGACGTATTTTCTTCTAAGCGCAGCTGTGGAGGCCTCCGCAGATGTTTTATGGCGCTGAACATTTCCAAGACGCTTTATTATTTATTACGATATTGCCGTTTAGAGCCTAATCTTCGCTTTTATTATCCAGAGAAACAATGGTCATCACTGGGCAGTACTATTTTTGGCATACGGTTGCCAGATGGGGTAACTTTGCGTGGGAAAGAATTATTTTCACCGTCTTAATTAGTGTCGTTTAGGTAGAAAGGAACTAGGGACCGTATATAAAACAATTAAGAAAAATATTAGGTAATTTCATTTTGTGGTAGGTAAGTACCTAGTCAATCGACAAAATGGGGTAGATATCTAAGTATTTCATTTGCTTTCGATTATTAATTTATAGTTAGTTGAACTTTAGAAGCGCATTGATTCCTGAAAAAATACTCTTCAGAAAGTAATTAATAGGTAAACTACAGGTAAGCTAGTTCATTGTCTAATATAGAGTTATAAACTACTATAAACGTTACATGTAATGGTTAGATGTAAGTATACTTATGAACGGTATAATAGGAGTACTTATGTAGGTATCAAAACAAAAAACCCAAAAGTAATAAAATTTCATTAGTAAATAACTCTATTGTCTTTAAGCATTAGCTGCTGGGTGTTAAGAAAACAATAGGTATCGTGATAAAAATGCAATGAAAAATTTTGCGGAAACAATGTTCAAAAGGTTCAACATAGCATATCTATCTTAGCAAACTTATCCCATAAATACAATAACAAACTAATTTCGCACGCAACCTGTGCACACGCACCGTACCATACCGCACCGATCGCACGTGACCCACTGAATCTTTTGAATTTCCCACAAGTGTTTACCTCAAGTAGGTACTCGTTACTTATCTAAAGCAGGTGTCACATACAAACAAAAAAGTTTCCAAATAAACCGCAGCCTCGTAAAACTGTTAACTAAATAAACTCGCGAACGTTTTAATCTGCTTTAGTTTAGAACATCTGTAGACTGTGTAGTTGGTTAGGGGATGATGTTTTATCATTACTATGCTTTAAGAGATGATAAATAAATTAGTAAAGATTCAGCCTAGAGCTTATGAGTAGGAATATATAGTAAACCGTTTCTTAGGATAGGTTCAGCACAGTATGAACTGTGACTAGTCTAAGTACTAGCTATGGACTGTGGGGTCAAATATATTAGCAAATAGGTAAGTACCTACTTCATCGAGTAGGTACAATTTGCAATAGGTACCCGTGCCGCTCCGTGTAAGTAAGTACTTTAATAAATAGCATACCTATCAAAATCTTTTAAAGTATTACAATTTACAAAACGAGCTGTTATTCTTAACCCTTTGGAAACGTAAGTAGCACACACGTAAGTGATGGCTTTCAGATTTTCAGGACCATAATTGAATTAAAAATTGCCTGTAATATAAAGCCTAAATAGTGTCTATAAGTACCAGGCTACTTAGGTACCGGTTTAGACCGGTGAAGCTGTGTAATAGATAGTTTCATTCATAAGACACTTCCACTGTTTCTCCTTACTATATCCGCTGTTATCTTTACGTGAGAAACTTGCGATAACGGTACGACTAGGTGCTTCGTTTTATGAATGAATCTTAATTGCTAGTTAGTAAATCCCACGGGCTCACGCCAGATGTTGAACTTCTAAGTCCTGAGAAAGCACCCAGCTATAGTTTTCGTAATATTTTTTTATTATTCTAACACAAATGGCTTAGGTAACTTATCCATTGTTTGCGTTGTCCTGTTACAATTGCAGTGCACATGTTTTATTAGTTTGCCATAAAGCATTGGCTAAACTATTGAGTTTAGCCGCTAAGGCAATACTTGCAGTAAGGAGTACGAAATTATTGTAAAATTTGAGATTTGGGTAAAATATCACACCTACAAATGACACCGAAATTTAATTAGGGAACCTTCATCACATCACATACCGACTTAAGTGTCCACACATGCATACTTAAAAAGATAAGTCGTTAGAATTTCGCCACCAACATTCTGCTCACTGACAAAGCACTTAAATAAAAAGATCTCATATTTATAACTTACTTTTTATAGGCACACACCACATTATGTACCTACCTAATTGATTGGTTAATAAAACCTTCTTATAAAAAACTTAACAAAAAGAATTTTAAATGTGAAAGGTATCGTATAGTGTTAGCTACAACTATAGGTATCAATCTACAGCGTAGAATGCATTTATCTTTGTAATAACTCGTTATATTTAGAGTTTGGATAATGAAGCTATTAATATTTTGTCGGGTGAGTACGTCACCAGTGTGGTAACTATTCCCGAAATATATTAAAACTCCGTCAACGCATCGCGACTCTTCCCCCCTTTTCGTCCTTTTAACCGTTGAAATTCAAATGTTACAATTCGGTTTCTCTATTTGTAGATATCATTGATGATTACCGAATTACCGAATTCAATAAATTCTTTGATATGTGTGAAGGAGAGGACATCCTAAAAAAAAGGAAATATTTTAGCTTAATTATCGAAAAATAAGTAGGTATTTAGATTGCCAGGAAGGTATGGTAAGCTAGAAAAAGTACCTACAATGAGAATATAATAATATTGACACTAGAATATTCCACATTGATGATTGGTTTTCATTGCAAGCTCGGTGAAATATGGCAAATGATAAGATGACTCATAGGACGTCCGGTTACAGATACGCTATTTTTCATCGCTGTAATAAAGTTTTCAGTTCATAACGAAATTATTACTCTACGATTTGTTGGTTTTTTAGGTTTGTTTGGCCGAAAATCTTCGTTTTTTCTTTGAAAAATTCGATACAATGCCTAAAGAATTTATGCAGTTGCAACAATATCAATTGCCTATTTGGACGTAGCTATTTTTCACCAACTACAAATTAGGTGATTTTTGGTACCGAAAAATATAATAGGAAAATAGTTATGACCTAGGATACACACAAATGTAACTACGTTAAATATATTTATTAAAGCATTGACTAATAAAATTAGTAATTTGAATCAAATCGGTAACGATACAGACACAGGTAATAAAAGCTGATATTTGCAACGTGCCCTTAATTTTAAACTAAATTATTTATTAGCTGATTTTAAACTGTCAAACACCAAGCGGTCACCGGTGACCGCGACCTATTGTTCTTTAATTGTTTCTATAAAACCGGTACTCGACGAGTTAATCTAAAATCTAAAAAGTAGGTATGCATGAAAAACGAATGTCAAAACTCGGTCTTATTCCAGACTAGCTGAGCCCGCGACTTCGTCCACGTGGAATAGTGATTCACAGATCCCCCCCCGTAGTTGATAGCATGATAACATATATGTAGCCTATATGTTTACCCGACCTGTTAGTGATATTCATGCAAAATTTGAAGTAAATCCATGCAGCACTTTTTGAGTTCACCCTGACATAGGTACTACATACAGACAAACATTCTAAAAACCATATTTTTAGTTTCGGTGTCGACTGTAGATCACGCCCAAAGCATTCTTTTAAAAAATATTCTATGTAGGTACTGTTTTCACTTTCCTAACATTTTATTATACATATATGTATAGAAATAGATATTTTGGATTGAGTTCGATTATTAGTTTCGGCAGTTATAAAACAACCGCAGGATAGACAGATATAGACGTGACGTGATTAGAAATGACGGTTATTTACGAATTGCCATCTTGAATTAGATAGTACATAATTAAGTATTATGAATCGAATCGATCAAAATAGTTTCACTGAAAATTGTCTTATGTCTTATGAATCAACTGAAAACCTTACATACCTACTTACTCAAGTATTTATGAAATAAGAATATAGTTACTTTTTTATTAGTCTAGCGATGGGTATGTGGTGTTATTTTACTAGTGCACTTAACTGAAAAACGGCTAATGAAATTTAATTTAATAATAATTTTGAATGACTAATACAAGTTGAATAAGCAAAGAGAAATTGTACACAGAACACCTGAGAAAGTTGATACTGACGGTTAGTTTCTCGATTAGAACCAATAAAATATAAGTAGTTTACCATGTATAAAATATTATCTATCCTGTCTTTCGGTGTTTGATGAAGAACAACACAAAGTGTCAGCTACACCTAACATTGTACAGGCAACATCACTACCTATCGGAGTTAGTAAGATAAATAAATTAAATATTTATGATATAGTGAAGGCATTGCCAGGCACGGCCGTGGGACCGATCCTGGGAGCATTGCGTCATGGATATTTTTAGTAGCGGCGGGACGACGCGTCACAAAAAATCTTACAAGGAAGGGTGGCGCCATATATCAAGTTATCGGTGGGATTAGTGCTACACTCTTCTGTGGCTTAATTAACGCATTTTGTAAGCTTAACAGTTTTGTATCGGTTATTAAAACACTATCAGATCTATTTAGTACTTGAATAGGTAGTACCTAAATATGCGCCCGTTTAGGAGTTCCTAATGTTTTGCAAAAAATGTCCTTAGCATTCATCGTTTATTTCTGTAAAATAAATTATTAAATCTAACAGTACATTGACTATATAGCCATACCATCAATACGACACTGGCTGACTGAAACAGCCCTCACAGGATGCGCGATCACCGATGCGATCGGTTATGGCGTCCGAACACCATACATATACCTACCTATGTATGCAGTAAATACAGTTCTGAGATGATGGACAAGATAAACAGAAAGCGATCAACACATCTTAGTATCGCTGTCTCTGTCTCTCGCACGTCGCAGCCAGGAGGCGGCGCGCTGGGAGGCCCAATGGAGTCGCACCGCTGTGGAGATGGTTATTTTTTTGTATCTTGTCAATGAAGGGACGGGCAGGGGCGGGTCGGCGCGGGCGCAGGACTCAGTATCGTGGTTGCAGTCTTACTGCGCTTATCACTCGCGCATGTTGGTCCGAGACGCGCGTGCCGTTTCTTAAAGTGACGCATAATGAATTACGAAAATCGTGATAATAGACCACTGCCAATAAAGCTCGAGGAGGATTTAGAATACCCGGACGATGACGAGCATTACTACGGGTACGCGCCGGTGGAAGTTGAGAGGCACCCCGAGCCGGCGGGATTCGCGCCTTCCTCGCCCACACTCCTGATGGACCTCAGCAACGGGTCTGAGCGACCCACACAACAACATCCTTGGCCCCCGAGTGTCGTGTTTGATGGAGAGGACCGCGACTACCAACAACCATCTTACACATCCTTCGAGCAACAATTCATTGATCAACGACAACGACAAGTCCCAAGAAGCTACTACTTTGATGATTCCAATTCTCAAGACAGAGTACGAAGTTACTACGAGCCGGGTGATGGGCCTAAGATGGGAGAAGTTTACAGAGGCACTGACGACAGGAGAGAGGAGACAGAAGAACAAAGAAGGTCGAGGAAGAGATCCAAAGCTTCGCGGAAGAAGACGCAATCGTTTGAAGAGATGCAGATACAGCGAGTGATGGCTAACGTGAGGGAGCGGCAGCGCACTCAGAGCTTGAACGAGGCGTTCGCAAGCCTGCGGCAGATCATCCCTTCGCTGCCGAGTGATAAATTGTCTAAGATACAAACTCTGCAGCTGGCGACGCAGTACATAGAATTCCTGTATCAAATATTGTCAAACAGTGAGTGCGCGGGTAGCAGCGACAGTAACAGCGACGCGGGCAGTGAGCACGGCAAGTACCTCGCACAGGACAAACTGAGTTACGCCTTCTCCGTGTGGAGGATGGAGGGAGAGTGGACTCACGGACAGACGTGATACACTAGTTACTAGTTACAGTGTACTCCTAGTGAAACTGAAAAGACGCTTATATTATTCCATTGTAGGTATTATTGATGCTGTGTCAAGTGATGTGTAAATGGTGAACAAATTACTTATTAATTAGTATTAGTAAATTGAATATGTGATAGTTAATTAAGTGGATTACGGATTACGGTATGCATATACCTTAAGCTGGTTATATGTAGGCATTAACTGTTGATAATAATTTATATTAAGTGTAAAACAAAGACGATATTTAGAAATAATGATTTATTTGATTAAAATTGTAGTGGCAACAATACATACAGCTGTATACCAAAAACTTGAGTGCCATGCGACAACAATGTGTCATTTCTATGATATTCGATTAAACTTCCAATAAAAATTATTTCATATAAAATTGTATGTGCATTTTCATTTCGCTGTATTACGCTATATTAGAACATCAATAGCACGCTAATTACCATGATACTGACATTTGATTCTGGTATTACAATTATAATATAAACATGGTCGGTTTAATTGGTATTTATAAAATATACAACAAGCTTACAAACGCAATAACATTTTCCCTAATGTGCGTAAAGACATCACACACCGTATTGTCTCATATTACCATTATTTACAACAACATACAACAACACATACATACATATTTACAATAAACAATTAGCTAAATAAATCAGTAAAAATAATAACTGCATATCATTTATTTATATTCTCTGAAATATACAAATGTCAAGAATGTTAAAAATAGAAGGGATTATATTGCTAATTTAATTTACAGATAGTTTTAGAATCTTAGATAGGTATTTGAAAAATTTTAGTACCTAGTTTAAATCCTATTCCAAGCATCTAGATATGTATGTAATAGATTTATTTTCTTTCAAGAGAAGAGAAGGTAAATTATTATGTTTTCGGCTTACTCACGTAATAATTTGACGAGGAACTCGACTAGTTTCAAGCCATGCTAGAGGCTCATATTCATGAGCAGCATTGCGTGAGCAGTTCCTCGTCAAATTATTACGTGAGTAGGCCGAAAACATTATAACTTATTTATTATGTCTCACGAAAGTTACAATACAAAGAGGAGAAGTTATCAATTAAAGAAAAAATAAAAACAGTATTGCACTATATCATAAAATAGTGATCCAGTGTTATTATTGTGTTAATTCTTAATTATTATTATTACAGCTCATCATTCAATAGTGGTTTATGCTGTGCATAATTTCTAGAAAAGTCTAAGGGTACAATATTCCTTAGTAGGTATATCATTTTGTTAAATTCATATCAATTGATAAAACATAGGTAGCAAAATTGTTGTTCTAAGGTCAAACAACACCTTCGTTGTTACTTCAGAAAGTAATTGTAATTTTGAGTTCTTTTAATTAAACGTTACAAAAATACTAATAACTAAGTTTTTAATTTGAGATTCGTATTTTTATCCATCAATAGTACTCTCGGACTTAGATTGATATAGCCTCTTCAGTATTATTCCTGCAATCATATTTATTTTCCTGTACGTAATTTGTATTGTCATATTAGGTACTATGAGCGAAACCTAGCTGTGAAAAGGCCTGGGTACAACTTAGCACCGGGTATCCGCCAACCGGAGCGTGTTGTTTTGGGTGAAAAATAAACGATTCCCGCCGTGGGTCAAGCTTGAGGGACAGTCAGGCTCTTACCTATATGGCTCTACCCGTGACCCCGGGAGGTACCAGTTTAATAACTTGTGTGGAAAGGCCCTTAAGGAGGGCCAATAGATCTCCGCGCGTTACGGTTGCCGCTCGGCTAAATCATAATCCAAATATGTAAAGAAAAGTACCACAAAGGCGTCTTAACACACATTACGATACTATCGAAAATCATAATTAAAATTGGATCAATGCGAAGATACTTTTTTTTGGTAATGTATAATCGCATGCAGTCCTATAAAATGGCATGCATTTGAGCCTCGAGACGTCTTAAATAACATGATAGATTTTAGTAATTATTAAGAATTATCATTATCTAATATATTATTCCATTTATCCTTCTCAATTGCTGACAAAAACATTTCTTTTTTTCATTAAAAAAATACTTTAAATAATTTTAAATAACACACTGATACGCGTGGTATTTTCATCAAACAAAAAAGCGCTACGCTCGTGACTTGAGGCAGGATAAAACGATGGTCTATCACCGTGGTAGATTCCATCTACATCCATTTAACAGTTTTTGCATAATAGAGAAATAAACATACAATCATTTGTATTCGAAGTAAATCCTAAAAAACAAAAGCACAGAATATGGTATTTTACTGTGTCATATTATTATACCATGAAAATACATGGCAATAGGGTAGATGACTAATTTTTATTTCAATGTACGTCTGGTAGAATATTTTCAAACATTAGACACGTATTTTTTACAGAAACAAATACTTTCGACGATATATTGATTTGAAACATGACGTCACTTCTAGGGCTGTTTTATAACGTAGAATTGACGTTTCACCTCCCACTTCTAAACTTTGAGTCGTTTTATCTAAGTATTATTTTCAATTATGACAAAATAAAAAGACACGTGTCTAATATTTTTTCATTACCTAACTGACGGACTAACTCGATTTTAATTTTCACACCCCGTCATCAGCCCTATTACCGTCGATTACCACCAGTAGACAGTCTTAGACAAATAACAAATAAAATAAAGATTGGGCAGTATTTTTTAACAGTGCAACCCAGACAAAATGTAATGAAAATTCATACTAATAATTCCCATGTGCTTACATACACTTACAAATGTTTAGTATGAAGTTCTAATATGTCTAATTTATCTCTATATCTACAAATTAGTTCACTACTTACATATAATTTTATTAGTTGCTCGGACTCGCCGTAAATTCCCTTCAACATATCACTTTGGACTTACCAAAACGGACATAGTGTATAGTATCAAATTGAACTCTATTGCGGTCAATTAAGACCTATGGGTACCTATATCTATATCACTAGTTTGAAAATTAGTGTTATTGTGATTCTACAATGACTACTACAACATTTCTATTGCGCTTAAAAGGATTTATTTATGCCTACACTACTTGAATTGGATTAATGTAAATATAAACATAACATAACATCACACCTTTTATTCTCGAAGGGGTACATAGGTGATCACTTCGGCACTTAATGCCACTGTACAGTGTAACACCCACTTTTCACTATTTATTTTATGAGTCCCATGTAATAGGAGTCTGGAATTAATACCGGGCACAATTCCAGACTCCGTGCTACTACTAAGATTTTTTTAAAACCCAGTAGCACTTTGCCCAACCCGGGAATCGAACCCGAGACTCCTTGCCCGGCCGGCAGTCGCACTTGCCACCACTCGGCCAACAAGGCAGTCTTTTTTGCCAACGAGAGCAAATAAATACGCTTAGCATTTATACAAATTAGGAGAAAGTTAAAAGGATAAGAGTCATAATACCCCGTAAACATCGGTTACCTTCATAACAAAAGCTTCTAGTAAGTTCTTTATGTCGTAAATGGCTCCCGGATTAGCCATTATTGCCAAGTGACTCATCGGATTTGAGCGAGGTAAACCAAATAATAATCGCCCTAACTATGATAAAATTTCTAACATTATGGTCCTGCTACTGTAAGTTGTATTGTGATTTTTCAACTTCTTGATTAAAAGAATATGGTCCTTATTCTTTTATATTGTATTGTTTTAAGCTTGCAATAGGCTCACCCCCTATTACATGGGACTCATAACATAAATACTGAAAGTGGGTGTTACATTGTACAGTGGTATAATGTGCACCTCTGCCTACCCCTTCGGAGATAAAAGGCCTGATGTTATGTTATGTTAAGTTTGCAATATAACACAAACAACAATATGACACCTTTACTGTAACTACCGTAGTGCTAAAAAAAGTATACATTTTAATACCGACTACAAAAAGGCGAGTTATAATTGAACCGTGTAAGTATATATATTATTTTTTGTTTTGTTTAGTGTAGGTACTTTGTACAATCACAATAACACCGTGTCTACAATATGGTTTTATAAAAGTTGATTTATTTTCACCTAAGAAATAATTATAATATTATTGTTGCTTTAAGGAACTATTAGTTCGTTGCTACTCATACCACTCATTCCCAGGTCTATCTGAAACAAGAAATTGTTTTCATAAAACATACATATTTAAGTAAAAATTTAAAACAGTTTTTACAGTCAAGGAATACACCTGAAATTATCATCTTTTCTACATATTTAAGGTGTATTAAAACCTGTTAATAAGCACCTAATTATCTCAACAGGTTAAAAAACATTTTCTTTTTAAATATAATACCCACATTTCACCAGCTATATGTTCCATGTGGGGATAAAACATAGAGCTCAGTTCAAAATGAGCATTATTGAGAATCTCAAAAATGAAAAACCCAATAGAACTTTTTTAAGACGCCCGCCACTCATGCATTGGAGTGCGGGTTTGAAAACCTACCAAAGGCCAATGTGACTTTTTCAGAGTTATATGTATTTTCTAAGATTATTCAGACACCACTGACAAACTGTAAAGAAAAACATAGTAAGGAAACCTGGGTGCTTACTCTTGAAAAAATCTCAATGTCAATGTAATTGCAATCCAATGAAAACTCAATATTTATTCAATGTCAAAACTAAACAACCCCTATTGTAGCTGTTAAAATAGCATTCAGAGTACGGAATATGAAGTTTAACTCAATACCATTTAGTTCATTCAATATCCACGCAATACGGATGCAATAGGCAAAACTCAAGAGCACGAAATATCACAATACCAATGTCGATCTTATAATTTCTTATTAGTTTGAAATCGCCAACCCGCATTGAGCAAGCGTGGTAATTAATGCTGAAACCTTCTCGGTGTGAGAAGAGGCTTTGCTCAGCAGTGGGCATTTGTAGGCTGATGATGTACTTATGTATGATGTACTTAATAGAACTTTGCTCGAACAAAGAATGTCGTAACACTATCGACTAATAAAAGTATTACTATTATTTAAAATCATGTTTTGTGTGATTGTGCATTGGTGTACAACAATATCACGCCTGTTGGTCTCCAAGTGAGGTTTGGGAAGGCTATCGTTACTTTTAGAGAAAATTTTACTGATTTCTCTGAGAAATCAGTAAGTTATCTTAAGATTAGTTAACGATATTATCATAACATAAAGTTCTAAAAAAGCGACGAAGGAAATAATTTCTGTCGTTACCACTGTCGAGACTTCCAGAATTGGGCAAAAAGTTGGAAAATAAAATAAAAAAGCCAATTATTATTCTGATGGTAATTTAGAACGAAACAAAAAAACTTACTTCATGTGTTAAATCTTTGTTCAGCGAATCAGGGTTGTGTTTTATCATCCAATCTTCATCAGCCGGTATCTGTAAAGGGTATCACTAATTCTAATGTCGCCAAAATAAAAATAAACAAACACAAAGATGGTGTATTGTGGTTTTATAACCATTACTTATTCGTTTTGGTTCTCTAGGTGCGTTAGACAAACAGAAAGATTTACGGTGTTTAAAACCCTCTCAATGACATTTTTTTGTAAAAACATACGAATGCTGGCAAATCATTTGGTAAAGCGTTTTTTATAAATATCCAAAATTCGAACTCTTTGATTTTTTAATAATTCCAATTTGGCGCCTGTGATTCGAAGCACGTAAACTGAACTTGACCTCTCTCATTAAATATAATAATAGCAAGGAAAGATGAGGGAACAGACAGTGTATTATATTTGTGCATTATAAGTACTCAACAGTTAGTTAGTAACGTAAGAAAATAATTTTATTGATGATGTATTAAAGTGGCAGAGAATCGATTCAATCGATTTTTGGACAAAATAAGGCTAATTGTATTTAATTCTTAAGCACGACATCGTGCTTGTTACATTTTTAGTAGGTAGTAGACAGTAAAACAACGGGATCAGGAATAGAGCTTGATATTTGGCAATGCTCATTCACCCATAAATGAGGAAAGAAAGGAATGGAATAGAATGAAATAGTGGAAAGTGGGTGTAACATTGTATCTACAGTTTTGCCTACCTTTTCAGGAATTAAAAGGCGTTACGTCATTGTACGATTATTACTTCATGTGTCTTCATGTAGGTATGTAATATGGCAAATATTTTATTTTATGTAATAAGCGGATAAACAAGCTGACGGATCACTAATGGTTAGCAATCGGCGTCGGTCATGGACAGCCGAAACATCAGAGGTGTTACAAGTGCGTTACCGGCCTTTTGGGGATTAGGAACCTCACTCACACGACGAAACACAACGCAAGTAATGTTTCACGTCGGTTTTCTGTGAGGCCGTGGTATCACTGCGGTCGAGCCAGCCCATTCGTGCCGATATATTCTTCTTTACTTACGTTAAACATCATCATTAACAACAGCCCCATAACAACCAACCGTTGGACCACAGGTCTGTTCTACAAATGTTTTCCATAATCTCCACCCGTGCAGAGAGTTTCAGATCGGAGTTTAAAGAGTGCAGATTTATCAGGGAGCGTTCGGTAGCGACTAATAGGTCCCTATACTCGGTGAGTAGGGTCGTCTCTTACAAAGCATAAAACTCACGCTACGTGACGGTGACGGTGACGCCTCAGATTCCCGATCCTGGCTGTGCGCCTGCTTCATATGGTCCTTGAGGGCGAAGGCTCGAGCGTAGCTCGCTCCACACATATCACATACGAACTTCAGGTTGTTCTGTCGCGAATGCGTCTCGGTGTGGACTCGTACTGCGTAGAGTGATGCGAATGGCCTGATAAAGGAAAACATTCATTAAGATTTTTAAGTATTTGGTATTTCTGCAAACAGTTTAAAAAAATAATAATGGCACAATAAAGAATTGTTTACAGCGCCATCTATCGGCACATTGTAAAACTTTATTCAATTAAGTAGGTATTTCATATTGTCACCTGTTACAATGCTGGCATTGGAAGGGTTTAGTGTGTGAGTTCTTATGTCCAGCCAGTTGGACGGAGGTCTTGAACGCCTTCGGGCAGAATGGGCACTTGTAAGCACGGACTTCAGAGTGAGTCAGTAAGTGGTGGTTGTATACACTGTGCGCCTTGAACCTGGGTAACGAACAAATAATTATATTGAAGAAAACTTATTACATAAACGGGTGCAGTCAGCACATTTAAACAGTCAAATTTTATAGAATTTTGAACTATATTGCTTTGTAACAAAGTTGTTATTGGAGATTAGTTTCATTATCATAATAGCCATAAGACATTTGCTAGTGAACATAGGAAAACTCACTAAATGAGTTCCAGATCGCTCGGTTGATAGCGACCTGCATCCAGCAGATTCCTGCTACCTATATCAGGGGGCTTACTCTTGCATCCAATTCCGATCGATCGACATTGGTATCGAGAAATTTTATACTCTTGAGTTGCAACACTAGCGCCGATTGCATATTGCTTGGATATTGAAGGAACAAAATGGTATTGAGTTAGGTTTTATATGCCGTACTTTGAATGCTATTTTAACAGCTACGATAGGGGTTGAATAGTTTTGACATTGAATAATTATTGAGATTTTATAGGATTGAAATTTCATTGACATTGAGATTGGTTTCAAGAGTAAGCACCCAGGTGTTCGGTCCACCTTGTAGGCCTTCACTCGAGAAGACGGTTAGTCATTCAATAACAAATACTTTTGTGTAATGGTAACGTGAGTAAGCCGGTAAACAATAATTAAGAAATACTTTCGACGTGAAACAATGCTTGCGTTGTGTTTCGTCGTGGGAGTGAGGTTCCTGGAGGTCCAATTATCCCCCTCCCAATCCCCGAAACCTCAACAATCGTCAAATTCATAACCCCCAAAAGGCTAGCAACGCACCTGTAACGCCTCTGTTGTTTCGGGTGTACATAGGCGGCACGATTGCTTACCATCAGGTGATCCGTCTGCTCGTTTACCGGCTTATCTCATAAAAAACATAGTTTAACGTGACGAGAACCAATGTTAGCATTTGTAAATGATTGCTGTTAATAAAAAAACAAATATTAAAGTAATATTGTCACCTCTTCCCGCAGTGTGGGCAGGCGTAGGGCCTGGCGCCGGTGTGCGTGCGCATGTGTAGAGTGAGACAGTACGACACGCGGAACGACTTGCCACAGATCTCACACGAGTGGGGTTTCTCTCCTGTATACCACACGGAATAGTGTAACTACCACAGTAAATACTTTCTATGTAAAACAACTATAGAGCTCTCACAATAGGTCTATTGACATTAAGTTTTTCAAAATGTAAATAGGGATGATGACAGGGTATGAAAATTAAACATCTAATTAGAGCGTGAGTTAGGTAATGAAAAAATATTAGACACGTATTTTTTTATTTTGTTGTATAATAAAATAATACTTAGATAAAACGAATCAAAGTTTAGGAGTAGGGGCTAAAACGTCATTTCTACGTATAAAATGTTCATAGAAGTGACGTCACGCGACATTTCTTATCAATATATCGTCGAAAGTATTCGTTTCTGTGAGAAAATAGAAAATAGGTGACTAATGATTTAAAATACTAACAGACGGACATTAAAATAAAAATTAGGCATCTACCCTATTATAGCACGGAGTTTACATTCGTACCAGAGTATGACTAACGGCTCACCCTTTATTACATGGGAGACCTACAAGTGACCAATTTTAGGTGTATATTTTATTTTACGTGCACCTTTAGAGCATAAAAGGAATGTTATGTTTTAATGACCGATTAAGTTAATAAGAGGTTGTACCGTGAAATATATAGGGTTATTGGTAAAACACCGATATCCTCTCTGGACTATGTTACTAACATCATAATCTGTATGTATAAATAATAATAATAATTGTGTTGAATTTACCTGTATGTATCCTCTCATGTTTAACTTTCTCGTGTGGCCTGGCGAACCTTCTGTTGCAATACAAACAGTTGTATGGCAGGTTCTGATCCTGGTTGTTTATTGGAGTCTGAAAATATAAACTTCTATAGGCCTGCTGATGGATAATCAGTTCACTCCAGTTCTCTGTCGTTCACAAATGCCGGTTTTCTTACAGTTAACATATTTAAAAGTTAATATTTTATTCATTTTTAAAACTATATGGCTTGACTCACAAGTGAAAGAGGAGTGTCACCTCTGTTTACCTTGACCAAGCGTGATATCACTATAAAATAAATCTTCTTTGAAAAATAGGTAGAGGAACTTCCCTACACAAGATTTAACTTTATATCCTACACAACAAAATTCATTTTCCAACAACAATATAAACAGAACCATACTCACTTTATCCACATTATGTACACTGGTATGCATTTCTAAATATTCCAAAGACGTGAATTTCTTATTGCAGATGCCGCAGTTCATTTTCTCTGAAGTCTTGTGTGAGTTCTGGTGTATGGCCTTGTAGTCGCAGGGGATCATTTTGTTGCAGATTGTACAGCGGTATGTCGCTTTACTTACTTTGGTACCGTCTGTGTTCTCTACTGGAGGCTCTATGGCACGACTCCTGTTAAAAATTGAAGAGATTCTAATAAACACCATCTTCCTAGCTTATTACAATATTGTGTATAAGATGTGTTAAATCGACTCGAATATATTTTTTAGCACGGAGTCTGGAGCTGTACCCGGTATATGGCAATAAGGTAATAAATCACCCCCTATTACATGGGACTTATAACATAAAAAGTGAAAAGTGGGTGGGAACTTACCCCTCTGGGGATAAAAGTTGTGATGTTTGTTGTTGTATGTATAAGATACTTTTTAGGCAGAGTAGACAATTCAATATTAGATGCAACAAATCTTCTCAAAAATTACAGAGGGAAGTCACATTATATGTTCAGTCATCTCATCGTCATGGTGGTGGGTGTCACATATTATCATAAAGTGATCCGTCTGCTTGTTTACCGACTTATCCCATAAAATATTAATCTAATAGACTCTGCAGTTGGCATGGTGTGTAGCCATTAACGGCTATTTTCAACATAAGCACCATAATTATCATCTTTTTCGTGAACTAACTGAAGAATAATGTAGACATTCCATATTGAATATCATTTAATTTAAAGCGTAAGTACTTACTTGATAGGGTCGTGCATTCGTTTGTGTAGTTTCAGGGACTTGTTTGTCAGGAACACAGTGTTGCATATACCACATTCATATGACACAGGCAAGGCATGTTGCTCTATAAAAATCAATAAACATAAGCAATTGAAAATTAACATATAACAATGTACTTGTTGTCATCGTCATTGGAACTGAACTCTTAATAAATCATTAATAGTAAAACTGTGCATTTGGTGGTCAATGGTTTGAACTTGTGTTCATATAGGCCTCTCAGTCATAAGATCGACTTCTGCAGCCCTCGAGTTCGATCTTCAAATCGTAAATAAATACTAGGGTTTTTAGAATTTTGAAACATTTTACCTTATACTTGGTGTTTGGTAATAGCCACAACTACTAATTACATGGAATCATACTTATTCCCTTCCCTCATAGGAATTTAAAAAAAAATGTGTACCTACCTGTTTTAGCTTTATGTGCTTTCATATGAGCACAGAGAGATTTGTAGTTCTCATACGCCACGGGACAATAGGGACACGGGTATTTTACTAAAAAAATAAACAAAATTAACATAACAAAAAATCTTTTAAATGTTTTATCGCCAGCTTTTTCAGGCAGAAACAAGAAACGTTATTTAGTTTTAAAAAAATAGTAGTAGATAAAACTCTTTATCTTACTCGATAAAGAAAGTACTCTGACTAACGTTAGGCGCATAATCAAGAAGAATATTGGCACAAATCACTTATTTCTTGTAAAATACTGAAAACGTCCAGAGACTGGAACGAAATCCACAATAAAAAATGATAAAGTAGTTAGTTTTGCATTTACACCACAACCGCAGAACCGATTATGACGGAATTTGGTAAGGAAATAGATGGGAGATTAGCGATATTAAACAGGGAAATAAATCAATGAGAGCGAAGTCATGGGCAACTGTTAGTAGTGAATAATTAGCGCTGAGGCATGAAAACATCAATATACTCACATATTTTACATGGATGGATTTTGAATTCATCCAAATTAGTGACGGAAATGTCGCAAGCTAAGCACTGATACGTTTTGAGCGCGAACCCGCAGTCAGTTGGAACTTCTTTGACAACCACCTTGTGGAACTGACCTATTTTATCTGTATCAAAAAATATACTGCCATCATGTCTCAGAAGATACTGTTTCAAAGGTAAAAAGATATTTTAGATGAAAGTATACCTAAACAAAAAAATGTTATCTCTTGCAATCGCCGATAGAGGCGCTAGTGTAAAAAATGGGTCTGAATCTAAACTGGTGATGTTCTTTTTACCATCACTAGTATATCACACTGGCAATTTATCTACTGTGTAAGTACAAATATTTTCTGATGTATCATAGTTTTAAAGTGTTCTCTGAAGTCCGAATGTAATATGGAGCGAGCCTGTTACCAAACACCATAACATATCGCACCTTTCAATTAAAACCGTTATTAAACGAAAATTTTCATGAATTGAGTATTTACATAAATTGACTATTTAAAAAGCCTAAAATAATTTGATGGCATTAACTCAATTCATTAAAATTTTCGTTTAATAACGGTTTTAAGATGCGATATCCAAATCGAGAAAACCAAATAACACTTTACTGAATCAAACCAGAGACCAGCAAACAATCGACCAACGAGGCAGTCTAAATAAGGTGATATATAATTTCTACAAAAAAAAAAAATTTAGTGTCTTTACAACACACACATCAACAGCCTGTAAGCGGCTTCTGCTGACCAAAGGCATCTACACGAATAAGGTTTAAACATTAATCAACACGTTTGCTAAATGCGGGTTGGCAATTTCAAACTTATAATAATAAATAAGCCCAGGTTTCCTCAATACGTTTTCCTGCACCATTCGTCAGTGGTGTCTAAATAATTTTAGAAAGTACATTATAACTCGGAATATGTCACTGTAGAGTCTTATTGCGCACTAAACGTACTTACCTATATCTATCGCATTGCCTGCATGAAAGTTAAAAATATTTGTCATTTACATTGAATAATGGTTTTCTTAACTTGAAACCAACTTAAAAGGAACATACAACCAAAATACTGAATTAATACTCTAGTTGTCAAGTCCTTCTAATGACTTAAACTTCAGTAAAATGAACATTATTTCAACAACAATACAGTTGTTTTTTGTTAATTAATAAGATGTTGATTTTACCTTTCGCATCAGTCTGTATGGGATCTTTTAAGGCGCCTTTGTCGACTGGTATGTAGCGCCTTGTGACAACAATGTCCTTATGTTCTATGATGGTGGAGTCTTTGTCATCTTCTGTAAATTGAATACAAATTCAATAACAATTGGAAAAAATATTTCATTGAACTTGGGTGTGTGAGGACTGTGGTAGAAGCACTTGTCAATATTGATTTATTACATGAAAGCAGAAACAGAAGTCAGAAGCACAGCCCTTTTTTGGTTCCAGACCTTTTATGTTGTTCATAAGACTTACGCACTCTGCAACTACACAGATCTTATGCAGAATGAAATGATTTTAGAAATAAATATTACCATTCTCATTCACTTGGCCAATGTCTTTGATGACGCCGCCCGACATCGTGTTGACTTGTATGTATCGTTTTGTTAGAACACCAACTTGTTCAGTCTGCTCCGCCTTGATAGTTTCGTGATCTGCACCTGCAAAGTTAAACAGTTATACATTACATGATTTCTACTAGATTTTACTTCATGGAAAGACTACGCCTAGCACCGCGGTTCTAAATAGGTGCTTAGCCGGGGACCCGATTTCGTAATAATGTGTCGCTTATAGCTTTACAAACAATATTATTAATTATGAAAATAAGTATAAACTAGATTACCCAAATCCAGAGTATCCGTGACGATTTGGGCATCAGTTTTGAACAGCATCGGCTCTTCGACTATGTCGCCAGTGTCGGTGATGACGCGTCGAGGAGTCTGTTTGTCCGGAGTCACCAACGGGTCTTCGCCGTCCATTGGCTCATAATCTAACGGCGTGCCCTCAGTATGATTCTCAGTTTGATCGATAGGCTCCTGCAAATATTCAGACTATCTATTTTATTAAGATTGCAATTTTTGATCAGACCAAAGCATCGACATGGGGGAAAATTTTAATATATAGAAGACAAACACAATACACCTTGACATTATAAAAGAATCAATGTTTATCAAGTAATAACTATGAGGAATCACACTATACATTGATGAAACCATATAGAAAAAGTCTAATATGTTCTGGGAGATATCTAAGATAATGATTATCACAATAATGAATAGAAAGAAGAATTTAGATGTTTTTATAATAACTACCGCGAGACATACTAAACTACGTAAAATCGCGGGTTACTCACGTGAATATACTGACCTCTGTGGTTCGAAACTGGTAGAGCTTTTCTCAGTATATTCACGTGAGTAACACGCGATTTTACTTAAAGAATTTAGATATTATGTAAGGACCTTACTTCTACAACAACTTCCTGATCGTTATGGTAGTTCTGTATATGTTCTATGACAGAGGTGAAGGACACTTTGCAAGTGTTGCAGCTGTAGATCTCCTCCTGAGTTTCATCTGGCATTGTGTCCGTGGTCATCATAGCATCTGTCTCCATCTCCATGTCTGAAAGTTAGATGTTTTGTTACAAGATTTGAACAAGGAAGCATGACCACCATATTTTGAGTTTCAAGCCTCAAGTCGGGCTGTATAATAATTATTGATCTATCAACTTACTATCTATTATGTTATAGCTAGCATCTTTCATAAATAAAATATACATCATTCGCTTTTTTGTTGTTTATTTTAATATAATATTAATACCAAATTAACCAGATCTGACAGATGACCAAATCATTATCTTGGCTCAGATAGAATCAGACTGGCGGCTCTAATGATGTAAATTGTAATATTGGTTAAGCTTATTGGTTAAACCATTAAACATTATACCTTTTAAAAAAAATCTCAGTAGTAGCACGGAGTCTGATATTGTGCCTGGTATATGGTAATAGGCTCACCCCCTATTACATGGGACTCATAACATAAATAGTGAAAAGTGGGTGTTACATTGTACAGTGGCATAATGTACACCTCTGCCTACCCCTTCGGGGATAAAAGGTGGGATGTTATGTGTGAATATACCTTTTACAGTAGTCAAAGATATAGTGCCGTCGGTATTTTTAGTAACAATAGTGTTTCCTGCGCTCAAGTCTGCATCATCTTGTGTTACGATCATGTACCGGTTCTCTCCATTCTCCTTTATTAATTTCAGTTCTCTCGTTTCTAAACATGGTTTCATCTGTTTCGTGAATAGTTCCACATACATTTTGTTAGCTTCATTTGCATCTAATTGATGTTCTGAGTTGGTGCTGATTTCTGTAAATAGGTACAATGTAGCATTGTAATATTGTGTACATATTTTTATATTCTGTACATAAGCAACAAATACAATAGAGACATGAGGTTGCTGTATTTGTAGAGCCAAAACCTAATGACAATAGAATGGATTTAAATGTGGGAATTGAACCCACATCATAAGGCAAACACTGCAACTGTTTATCAAAGCTAATGCACTTCGATACTGAGATATTATGTTTAGACAGACACACCCTTACCATTTTCATATACTTTAATATCAGAGTTTCCTATATCTGTAGAGTTTTCAATATTGCCCTCAGTGTTGTGCTCAAATATTATACTTTGTACATTTATATTATTTAGTACATTACTGTCGGACTGGCAGCTATCTTGAGACAAATGATCAATAAGGTGTGGCAGGGAGGGACTTTTATGGTTACAGAGAGGGCAGCTTATGATTCCCATAGAATTTGATAAATGTTCTATCAAAGACTGTTTAGAACTAAATGTAGCATTGCAACAAAGGGGACAATTCAGCGGCTGGCCTTCCATTATTATACTAATAATATATTAGTATAACGCCCTTATAGCATCCAGACGTCTATCATTGTTGATAACAAACAGTGCTTTATTTGGTAAACAATAAACATATCACTTTCATTCAATCTCATAAAAGTGCTACATTCAGTTTGTATCTAAATTCTCAACACAAAACCACATTTAATCAGAAGAACTTCACACTAATTTGTTAAACGTGAAGAAAGCACCAAACCAAACGCACAACGCACCATTTTTGTCAAAACTGACATTACTAATGTGTTGACGAAGTTAGAAAGAGATGAATTTTATAAAAATAATAGCTTCTTTCAATGACCTTAGAAAAATGTTTCTTTATCATAAAAAATAAATATATGTCGCATAATAAAAGTAATCATTTAAATATGAAGATGGTTCGTCTTTTTTCCAAATAATGAAGTCGAATTGAAATAATTCGTTAACCGCAGCTAACTTTGTAAATAACCGAATCAGTTGTTGCAAGTCGCTAAAAAGAATGTAATCAATACTTTTAAAGTTCTTTGTAAAAAATAATAACAGCTTATTTAGTACCATAGTTTATACCTTAATCTTTTATGGCATCAAATATACTTTATTGAGCCTTAATACTTTAATAAGAGGTAGTTTATCAATTATTTTGTATTACAAACTCCTTTGGTCTTGTACACTTGTGTGTTATTTGTTATGGCAACTTTATTGACTAACTAAGGTCGCCATTTTGTCGTCGTGATTTTTTAATGGTAGCGATTTTTATTTATTCGTGTTAATTATTTCTTTACGGTGTAAATTAAATACTTCAAGTGTAACCTCAATACCGAATTGTGCCTGTATGTAATACAAATAAGATTGGACAATTGTTGTATGTGTAATTATAAAGACGTTGACGCTTGTTATGTTTATGTGCAACTGTTTTCGCGGGTAAATTTGATTAAAACAACATGTTAGGAAAGAGGATGAACCATAATAGCAAAGGAAGACTAGCAAGCAAAGGCCATGATAATGGTAAACCTTCAAGCCCAGGTATTTCACCTTATAACAAACCAGCTAAAATACCAGGTGCTGTATCTGCTGGGAAAACTAAAATAGAGTTATGTCCAATCCCTTACATAAAGATACAAGACAATGCTGTACATCTACCTCGCTTCACAGCTATCGCAGCAAGGTCTGCAGATGAACCTATCGGGATGGACGAATTGGATTCTCTACAACTAGAGCTTGAGTCTCTTTTGGGTAATACAGCTCTTCGTATAAGATATTTCCAGTCTGAAATTGAGAGTATTGACACAAATGAGTCCAAGAGGGAAAAGAAAGGTAAAGCTGCTGGCAAACAACTACAGTATCCTGTGAAAAGAAAGTTTCCAGATGATAAATTTGTGAAAACCAATAGCACCAAGTTGTCGAACCAGCCTAAAGTGCCTAAGTTCAAAAACATGTCCAATGCCTCTTCAGGTGGATCTCACAATTACACTAATGATGTAGCTAATTCAGACAATTCAGTAAAACTGGAACTATCACAATTTGCACTGCCAAAGAATAATATTCCATATAAATTCTGGAGCTCGGTTGATCCTTATTGTGCTCCTGTTACATTAGATGATATAAAATTTTTGGAGTCTTTGTTAGCTCAGAGCAGCAATGCTACACTGCCACCAATACCACCACTAGGCCGTCACTACTCTGAAGTATGGGCTGATGAACATCTCGCTGAGGATCAGAATGCTTCCAATCCAAACAAACAAAAATCATCAATGTCTCCTGAAGCTTCTAATATTCGTAAGAAACTTGAAAAATCAAATGAAAATTTGATAACTGGTCCATTGACTCAAAGATTGGTATCAGCACTTATGGAAGAAAATCTGATGAACTATGAAGTGCCTGACATTAAAGTCAAACAGACAACAAACACTAAGAGTAGCTATAAGAATTCCCTAACATTAGAAAAATGTCTAAGAAAAGAGTTAGTAGAACAAGGTATATTGGATCCTGAAGATTTGCCACCTCTGACGAACCCTGCTGATGACGAAATACTGGCAGAAATAAAAAAATGCCAGACAGAACTGACTGCAGTAAAGAAAGACAATTGTCGTAATCTGAAACATCTTATTGGGCTATGTAAACAAGAAATGATTAGACTGAATCTGAAGAAACAACTTGATCAAGTTGATATGGAGTGTATTGATATTTATAAGAAAATGGTGGCTGCAAAGCAGAAGAAGAGACCTATTACTAAGAAGGAAAAAGAGGATGCTTGGAGAGCTATAAATGAACAGATCAGGCTAAATAAAGAAATTAATGCTTTGCCTTTAACAGGTCCAAATTCAAGCTAAATAATGTTTTAGTTAAGTATTCCATGGGGTAATTATAGAATGTTATAGGTACCTATTATTTAGAAATAAATAACATTAATATCTATAACTTGTGTATTTATTTTTACATTTGAACAATGCTGATTATATTATAATATATAACTTGACTTCTTTAATGAACAGTATGACAAACAGGATTTTTTTTCTCGTTTGTCACACCACTTATTTTTCTACACTATGTATACGATAATTAACCGACTTCAAAAAAAGGAGGAGGTTCTCAATTCGACCGTATATATGCTTTTTTTTTTTTATGTTTGTTCGCCGATATCTCCGTTGTTTATAAACCGATTTTGAAAATTCTTTTTTTGTTAGAAAGGAGATAGTTCCAGAATGGTCCCATGATAAGGAAATCAGGATCTGATGATGGAAGACCAGGGAAACCGAGGGGAACTTTTAAAAGTTATAGGGGTGACTAGGGCATTTGTTAATTTTTTCATTAAGTATTAAAAACCACTACAATCTGATAAAGGTCTGGAGCCGATCTGATGATGGAGCCGAGAGCCAGCTGAGGGAACTCCTCAACGGTTAACAGTAGCTACCTTGTGTTTGGGTTTGATTAATTTGTATTGATGAGGACTTTACACCTGAGTGGGGTGTAATTGTCAATAAGGGTCTGATGATGAAGTAGTACGATAGTTGAGGGAACTCCTCAACGGTTAACAGTAGCTACCTTGTGTTTGGGTTTGATTAATTTGTATTGATGAGGACTTTACACCTGACTAGGGTGTAATTGTCAATAAGGGTCTGATGATGAAGTAGTACGATAGTTGAGGGAACTCCTCAACGGTTAACAGTAGCTACCTTGTGTTTGGGTTTGATTAATTTGTATTGATGAGGACTTTACACCTGAGTGGGGTGTAATTGTCAATAAGGGTCTGATGATGAAGTAGTACGATAGTTGAGGGAACTCCTCAACGGTTAACAGTAGCTACTTTGTGTTTGGGTTTGATTAATTTGTATTGATGAGGACTTTACACCTGAGTGCGGTGTAATTGTCAATAAGGGTCTGATGATGAAGTAGTACGATAGTTGAGGGAACTCCTTAACGGTTAACAGTAACTACCTTGTGTTTGGGTTTGATTAATTTGTATTAATGAGGACTTTACACCTGAGTGGGGTGTAATTGACAATAAGGGTCTGATGATGAAGTAGTACGATAGTTGAGGGAACTCCTTAACGGTTAACAGTAGCTACCTTGTGTTTGGGTTTGATTAATTTGTATTAATGAGGACTTTACACCTGAGTGGGGTGTAATTGACAAAAGGTCAGATGATGAAGTAGTACGATAGTTGAGGGAACTCCTCAACGGTTAACAGTAGCTATTTTGTGTTTAGGTTTGATTAATTTGTATTGATGAGGACTTTACACCTAGATGGGGGGGGGGGTGATGGTCATTAAAGGTCCAATGACGAAGTAGTATGATAGCTAAGGGACTCCTCAATGGTTAAGAGTACCCACCCGGTGTTTGAACTTGCATAATTTGTATTGATGAAAACTTTGCATCCATGTGGGTTTTGTATAATATTATTATAATATATCAAAGTACTAAACTAAAAAGTATAAAATAAAATTAAAAAACTGCGTTTAAAAAACCGACTTCAAAAACAAATGACAAACAAAAAGTAAAAACTAAAAAGGAAAAAAAAACTATTAGTGGTCATACGTACTTATAGCTTACACACCCACTGATAGGTTAGAAGTCGGTGCCACAAACCCACAATAAAATATAAAGTAGACAAAAGTCACAGCTGGTATAATCCATAATAAAATTGTAAACAGCTCAATAATGTTAGGTATCTATTAAGGTTTTAATGAATAATTTTGTTTAAAACTTGTGGCACCGACTTCTAACCTATCAGTGGGTGTGTAAGCTATAAGTACATACGTATGACCACTAATAGTTTTTTTTTTCCTTTTTAGTTTTTACTTTTTGTTTGTCATTTGTTTTTGAAGTCGGTTTTTTTAAACGCAGTTTTTTATTACTAGTGCAGTACCTTTACATTCCAATAAAGTCGATCGGCGTTTGCCGTCTTTCGTTCTTTGGCGAATTTTTAATATTTTCTACTTTTAATTAATAGATAGGTAACATAACATAACATCACGCCTTTTATCCCAAAGGGGTATGCAGAGGTGCCCATTGCGGCACTTAATGCCACTATACAATGTAACACCTACTTGTTCACTATTTATATTATGAGTCCCATGTAATAGGGGGTGAGCCTATTGCTATATACCGGGCACATGTCCAGACTCCGTGCTACTACTGAGATTTTTAAAAACCCAGTAATACTTTGCCCGACCCGGGAATCCCTCGAGACCCCTTGCCCGTCGCACTTGCGACCACTCGGCCATCGAGGCCGTCTAAATAATAAGCTCTATGTGGATGTCCAGTGTTTCATATGATAATGCAACCTTATCTAGTAGGTACTGGCCGGTTGTAAATGCAATGCTTGAGTTAATGATCGAGGACGCTCGATAGTTTTTGAGGATACTCGAAGGTGATCGAGGACGCTCGAAAGTGATCGAGGATGCTCGATAGATTTCGAGGACGCTCGATCGATTTCGAGGATGCTCGATAGATTTCGAGGACGCTCGATAGTTTTTTAGGACGCTCGATAGTTTTCGAGGACGCTCGATAGTTTTTGAGGACGCTCGATAGATTTCAAAGACGCTCGAAAGTGATCGAGGACGCTCGATAGATTTCGAGGACGCTCGATAGATTTCGAGGACGCTCGATAGATTTCGAGGACGCTCGATAGATTTCGAGGACGCTCGATAGTTTTCGAGGACGCTCGAAAGTGATCGAGGACGCTCGATAGATTTCGAGGACGCTCGAAAGTGATCGAGGACGCTCGATAGATTTCGAGGACGCTCGAAAGTGATCGAGGACGCTCGAAAGTGATCGAGGACGCTCGAAAGTGATAGAGGATGCCCGATAGATTTCGAGGATACTCGAAAGTGATCGAGGACGCTCGAAAGTGATCGAGGACGCCCGATAGATTTCGAGGATACTCGAAAGTGATCGAGGACGCCCGATAGTTTTCGAGGATACTCGAAAGTGATCGAGGACGCCCAATAGATTTTGAGGACGCTCGAAAGTGATCGAGGACGCTCGATCGATTTCGAGGACGCTCGATAGATTTCGAGGACGCTCGATAGATTTCGAGGACGCTCGAAAGTGATCGAGGACGCTCGATAGTTTTCGAGGACGCTCGATAGTTTTCGAGGATACTCGAAAGTGATTGAAGACGCTCGAAAGTGATCGAGGACGCTCGATAGATTTCGAGGACGCTCGATAGTTTTCGAGGACGCTCAAAAGTGATCGAGGACGCTCGAAAGTGATCGAGGACGCCCGATAGATTTCGAGGACACTCGATGGTTAATTTAATTTAAAGGTTTGCAACATGTGTCGATACCCTTCGCCATCTCATCTTCTGACTACGGCAGGTTGTGCTGGGGCGGCTGCCGCAAGTGCAGAAACCCTCAGCGGATAACCTTATCGGAAATTACATGCGCTCATCGTGTTGTTCGAGATATCAGTAAACGTCGACTCTTCGCGTGACCAGAGGGCCGGGCTTTTCTTTTGTCAACGAATCAGCATTGCCATCCAACGTGGTAATTCGAAACCACGTTCATTGAGTCGCCTTCTAACGGTTCGAGCACTTACAGCCACTGCGTGAAAGTCCCTGAGCTGTTCTTGTATTTGAACAGAGGTAAGGCGTCGATTGCGTAAGCTGGTAGTAACAATGTATTGATCTTGTCTCGCCGTTGTCACCCGGTAACGAGGTCCTCCTGTTCGCCGAACGAAGCCGCCAGTCTCCAGGGATCGATGGTACACACTTTGGACAGCGGAACGACTTATGGGAAGTTGTGAACTCACATCTCGCTGACTTAGCCCAGATTGAAGAAGTGCTACAGCTTGCGCGGCTACTTCAGGTGAAGTATCCATAATTTTATAGCCAAAAGCGATTCAAATTAAAGAAAAAATACTAAACTAAACTTTGGTTAACAAAAATAGCGAAAATTCAAACAAAATCGAAATTAAATTGCTTTAAAAGTAACTTTCTACAGCCATTATTTTTTTCAAATCAGTGACCAGGACCTAGCTCGGCTTTTGTTCTTTATTTTAAAATCTTAAATTCAAATTTGGAAGAATACTTACGGGAAAGACGATGAAATATGCCAGCATTAAAAATGCATAAAAACTTTTTTGTTATATTGCATATATTTTGTGTAATGGGCTTTTAGGCCCAGGAATGTAATGTGGCTCGATTAAAGTGTCCGGAAGTGTATATTCAATTCAACATTAATTACAATCTTCAAAAAAATGAGGAGGTACGATATTCAGATGGATTTTTTATATTTGTTCATCAATTACTCCGTCAATGGGGCCTACAAAATCTTTGTTCACTAGAGTGCGCCTCTCGTTCTTCCAATAGAGAATAGGCTAGTGTCATACTATTGGACGTTCTTATTTTGACTACTGCATTGATTGGACACAAATACTCTCTCCTACATTTGCGCCATCTGGTGAGCAAAAAACCGTTAGTCCGACCATTGTGGACCCATTTTCAAAATATTTTTTTGTTTGAAAGGTTATACTCCCGAGGTTCCATTTTCACCAGGACAGAATCTAATGATGAAAACTGAGGGAAATTTTAAAAATTATAAGTAATTCAAGTAATGCGTCTGTTATGTTTTTCAATATATACTTGCAACACAGTAATTTGATGAGAGTCTGGAGTCGATCTGATGATGAAGCCAACAGACGGTCTAGGGTACTCAACGTTTTACAAAAATTACATTGTATTTGGACTTGAGTAATTTGTGTTGATGAGAAATTCACATTTAGATAGTCCGGGACTGTCATTAAAGGTCTGATGATAATGAAGTATTCCTTAACTTGCAATAACTACTATGTGTTTGGGCTTGATTAATTAGTATTAATAAGAACTTTGGAAGGAGTGGAAGTATTATTAAGGTTCTGTTGACGATAAAGTATAGTTGTTAAGGTCCTCAACAGTTAACAAAAGCTATATGGTGTTTGGGCTTGATTAAATTGAACTAATTAAAATTTAATACTAAAAATAGTGGCGTAGCATGCCTTAGCGGGGCCCCGCATAAAAATTTGTTTCGCATCTCATGAAGGCTAAAGATTTCTCAAAGATTTTTTTAATAAAACTACTTATTTGAGTCAAAAGACTAGATGTCATGTCGACTAAGTTTAATTGAAGCGTTTAAAAATAATGACGTCCAAAACATTTGAAAAGTAACGAAAGTACTTCGGGTTGATCAGCTGAAAAATAAAATTGTTTGGAAAGTAATATAAGTATTTTATAAAAATGGATAATCCATTAACTCCTAACAAAATACAGAGACTTATGCATCTAGCAGAGGACAAATCCTTCAACATGCCGAGACGTTTACTGCTTACGGACGAAGACTTGAAACGGTACGTAGATGAAACACAAATAGAATGATATTATATCGTTTTATTTATTTATTTTTTAATTTTAGCTTGGCCTCAACTCAAGCATCAATGAATAGATCCAATATCAATAACTGCGAGTCGTCTTCTGGCATTTTGGATTTAGAAAGAGTTGAAGGTAAGTAATCTAAAACTTATAATTTCTCAATTAAAGAACAGTTTATCAAAATATGTAAAAGCACCTAGTGAATTCTGTTTATTTAACAAGAGTATTGTGTTTTAGGCTTTGGAGAGTCTGGGATGGGAGACTTATCTCTTAGTAAATCTGTAAGTATAACTTTCCTCCTTACTTATTAGATGCATGTTACAAGTTTATCATTTCTTAAAATTCTTTAAACATTATATAACTTGATAATATAGGTATGTACATTACATTATGAACGATTATACAAATTGATCAACAATGATGTAACTTTTTCATACATGTTAATGCTAACTTCATCATCATCAGCCTAGAGACGTCCACGGCTAGACAAAGGCCTCCCCCTTATTTAATCACGTTCAACAACAGCTCTACCTGCATCCATTAGCTCCCAGCAGCTGTAACAACGTCGTCAGTTCTCCTAGTAGCTCATATTTACGTATTAAGTTGCAATTTTTTCAAAATAAAGACAGGAATTTCAATTTTCAGACAGCATTCAATCCAGGTGAAATGACTGGTAGATCAACAGGAGCTGAAGACTTCAAAGCAATGCCTCTGGGTCGCCACTCCATAGCTTTAGAAAGCCTCACCAGCCAGATGGATAAACAGACTTCAGAAATTCAAGATATTATGAGACATTCCATTGCTACTAATTATTCTTTTCATTCCAAGGTATTCATAATTTAAGAAGAAGAATTTCTTATTAATCAGTTACTTAGTAAATAAAGTATTGTTTCCTTTTATATTCTGTCAACATCCCTTTTGGTTCATTCTCAATTGTATTGATTATTAAATTATTCATCTTTAAATCATGTTATTACAGAGAGATCTTACAGCGGATGAAGCATCCTTGATTGTAAGGGAAGCTCCGTTACCCGTGCCAAACAGCACCCACACAAACTTTGCAGATAGCATTTCGTAAGTTATTCTTCGGTTTAACATTTTTAATGAGTTTTATCAGCAGTTTAGTGATATAATAATAATTGTTTAAAGCTAAAATGAGTTTGTTTCTTGCTCTTCCATATAAAAGTTGATATTGAGTATTATAGATTTAGTTACCATACCAGACAAGAATTAATAAGAAAAAAAAAATTTTTGAGAATATTTGCTTTGACTTGACTATCATACTATTAATTTTCAGGATGAATAACTCAAATCTATCTGTTGGTGCATACTTCAAGAACAGATGTCCAGAGTTTGGCAAACTGCTTGGCAAGACTGATAGCCCAGACAGATCCTATATGCCTAGCATTACTGAGGGTATGAGACTTATTTTAGATATACTTTTCTTAAAATACACTTACATTTTCAACACCACACAACGCATCTGACGTTTTACTATATCTACATTCTACACTAGTTATCAACTATTAATTTTTTATCTTTTAGTAATGTATTCGGAATTCTATTTCAGTGTCTGGCACACACTCAGACTCATTGAGATCTGACAAGAATCTACTGAAAATGGACCAAACGTTAGACTGTGTACCAGTGAGACAGCCTCGCAACATCATGGACAGTTTTCCAGAGAAACAGAGCAATGTTCCCTCTCCAGCAGAAAGTACGTTCACAATGCCAAAAGTTGAGAAACTAGCTGAACCGTCAACTAGCAACATGACAGAAGCAAAACCAAAACATGATCCGTTCTACATGAGCCAAGTCCCTGATAAACCAAAATATGTCCAAATGACATTGAATTCTGTCTCTCCACAAAAGAATGTGCCTGTACCAACAAGGGAAACTGACTTGTTGCTAAAGAATTTACAAGCTTCTCTGAGATTAGTGAGTGAAGATACTGAGGGATCAGCAGAGAATTCTTTGAGCATTTCGAGGATTGCTGACTATCTTGGTAAGTAATAGGATTATCACACATCAACAGCCTATAAGTGGCCTTTGCTGACCAAAGGTTTATTCAAAGAATTTTGAGCATAAATCACCACAATTGGTCAATGCTAACTATTTGAAACTTATAACAAAAAGTTATGTGTAACAGCATTGTTTTTACAATTTCTAATGAATAAAGATAGTAACAATTAAAAAGAATTCTTTCTCTCTTAAAATCAATGAGCTACCTTTAGTATATTCATTCTTTCATCTTTCAGGTAAACAATCCAATGTAAGTGTAACAGACATGTTGCTTTTAAACAACAAAAAGAAATACTTGAACAAGAAACAACCACTTACTGAGTTGCACATGAACATACCAGAATCTAAGAAGAACAACCAGGACCTGCCAGTCACGTATTTAAAGGACACTCGCAGGACTGAAGCAGCTAGTTCATCAGGAACTGCCATCACCGTTATAAGCCAGAACAAATACAAAAGCAATGAAGAGCAAGAGATCCCAGCAGTAGTAGTAACTCGTCATTCTCTCAACACAGATCAGTTGGTCGAAATTGATGATTCAAAGTCCAAGAAAAGTGGCCGTTCCAAGTCACCATCAAGTAAAAGTCAATCCACTCTCAGCACTGTTCAAGAAAATTTTACGAGCTTTAAGTCTGGAGACAGTCCTTTACATTCCAGCAAAGGTATATAATAAGATATTGAAAGGAGATTTAGACTCGTGATAATTTTGTATATTCTCTGATAGTGTATTGCACTTGTGTATTAAGCTCAAGTTTATACCTCTCCAAATGTTGTATTGCACAAACGTTTATTGAATGTATTCTATGTATATAGCAGGGTATGATTGGTTGTAGTAACAATCTAGTTGACATTTCAGGCGAGGCCAATACATCACATGTTGCTTCCCCAAATACAGTATATAAAGAGTTAGATAAGTCTGTAGATTGGCACGAAGTAATGCAACAGAAACTTTTGAAACAGGAGGGCTTAGCTAAAGGTTTGTGGGCCTCGCTTCATTCATCGTTATGTGGGAATCTAACAAATCATCTTACTAAAATTCTGACTACCTCACTTAGTTGTACTGAGAACCAATCTTAATGATTGTGTGTTGTCAGGTGTTAGTTCTCAGGCTAGAAAGTGATTAATCTACTAATCTGTCTGCAACATTGCATCATTCATTCTTTTTGCACTGATAACTAATAATAAAGAAAACTATAAGTTTGTTTTGCAACATCAGCAGCATTAGGCAACATTCTATACAAAATTTAAAACTATTTTAGTATTTCTACTTTACTACATCATGTAGTTAATTTGCATATTCTCAGTGAATATTTGAAATCATCAGTATGCTAATTGCTTAGTTTTATGAATTTTATAGTTATCTATAATATATTATTGCGTTGAAATTTAAAAAAGCCTAGTATTGCATGTGTTATAAATAATTATCTTGCTTAATTTTTTCGTTTTAGAACAATGGGTCGAAATTGGAACCACTGTCGCCGATGGATATGTTGGTAAGTAACTACTAAGTGTAGGTATGTTACTGTCGTTACCTTCTTGGTAATTTACTAATTGCTAAATGATTATTTACAGGTGTAAATTGTCCCGTAACTATAACAGTGACGACTCTATCAGATAGTTGGTTGACTGCTAAATTACAATTTAACGATTTGCCAAATGATGGCAGAGACCTGACAATCGAACTTCCGCGTATGCCTCTGTTGCTGTCTCCAGGAAAATCTGAAAAAATCACACTGCAAATAACATCTAATGTGGAAATGAGCACTACATTGTATTTCACAATGTTGCTTAAAGACGCGTCTATTGATGGGGATGTGGAACAAAATGGCGAGGTTCAACTTAATATAAAGATGCCTGTTATTCAAGCTATGTCTTGTGATGGCGTCAACAAGATCACGTTTCCACCGATACAAGAGAATAGTTCGCTCGTTAAGTCCTTTGTGCTTATAAGTGATTGCCCTACCGATTTGCAATTAGAATTATCAGTGGTAGAGGGCGACAGTATATTCGCGATCAAAAACGTTCAAGAAATAAAGAAGAGTGATGTGAATAAGATTTTGATGGATCGTCAGGGGTCGACTGATGAAGGGCAGCAGCCTGGGAAGAGTAAGGGCAAAGCGACTAACAAGCAGCTCTGTAGGCTGACCAGTGGTAACGCTATTAGGGTAACAGTCAAATTCAATGCGCCTAAGTTAGCAGATATAGAAATAGGTAGGTACACTCATTTATTTATGCAAATGTCTAAGGACCTATTATTGCAATCTTGACTATATAATAAAGATACCAAAATGTCCCCGAATCATTAAACTTCACGTCAGTATATTGTTAAACTACGACCAGCCGCTTTCACTCTCCCCCTAACTGCGATCCCTAAGTGAGATATTATCACAAGCCCTTTCTAAAGAAAGAGGACTATGAAGGGCATTATTGAAAAGTGGAAATAATTTGATTGATTATAATAACGATGGTGATGAAACTGACTATTTTTTTTTCATATTTTTAGCAGATTCAATAGTGACATTCAATGGGCTGATGAATGTGAACTTGATTGGAGTTAATAGTGTGCTGAGAAAGGTCGATCTTGTTGGTGTTGTTGGTACCGTGAATCTGGTGGCCAAACCTCCAACTAGCAAGTTGCAACTAACTAATGGTGAGTTTTAGAAACTACATAAAACAAAACGTCTCATGTTAATACATCAAGGTATTATTAGGAATACAGGGGATCAAGACAATTTAGTTAGTTATGTACTTTTACACCTTTACAGAACCGACAAATATCGAATTGTGTAACATTGGCTCAATATCTGGAATATGGATAGTGAAATTCAAAACCAATTCGGTAACGGATAACTTTCCATTCAAAATAGCGCCAACTAAGTTTGAGGTTCGACCTGGTTCGTCTAAGTCTGTGAGCTTGTTATATACTGGATCTGGTGATCCGGTTGAAGCGTAAGTATATCTATTTATCTATCGGCAATAATATGAGTTTACTCAGATTTGAAGAATTACAAAAGTAAGAATTCTATATTTCCAAAAGTTAGCCTACATTGCATCTACATTTTGACGGTAATGTTGTCGTGGAGATGTAGTCTTTTTCGATCTCGATGTTTGGCAGGCAGCGTGGAGGCCGCAGTCATAAGAATATGTACTAAAGAAAGACCACAATTAAATAACAGAAAATTCCTTCTGCTTCTCTGGTTGATTGCGAATTTAGGACTATTTGGGTCTATCCGATAAACAATAAAGTATTTGTCATATATTTTTACAGGACCCTCATATTTGAAGAGATTACATCTGGCAATAAGACTACACTAGAAATATGTGGAGGCTTCGAAAAACCAAAATCATTTCCCATTAAGACTAATTACAGTTCTATGTCGTGGGTGCGAGCTGGTAGGAAAGAACTGAGCTTAAAGAATGCAACAAATAAGAAGATCTACATCGATGTCAAATTATGGGAGAAGGGTTCGCGATAGATTTACCACGAGAGTCTAGAGGAATATACTGTGTGCCTTTCGGGCCGTGTGAATGTCGCCCATTGCCTATAATCTTTTCTCCAACTTCAAATGCACCACAGAAAGCAACATTACACTTAGTGTTCGAAAAAAATAGCGAACATTGCAGAAAGGTAGGTGACGGTGTGAAAAGGAGGTTTTGGTCATTAACTAGTAACTCTAAAATAATTGCGTATATTTTACTTTTTGCTATAACTTTTTCGTTTTTGTAGATTGAACTGTATGGATGTGCAAGTGGTGAGGCGTTGCGCTGGTCGGGGCTAGTGACGTACGGCGACACGGCGCTGGTGCGGGCCGTCTGCAGACAACCCATCAACTTGGAGCTTTACAATAAATCCACTGCACCCGCCTTTGTGTGTGCCAGAATTCATTTCAATTGTAAGTGTGCTGCAAACCGTAAAGCAATCCATCCCACTTGTTATTGAAACACTATTTCAAATTTAATAAATAAAAAATACACACATTAACATTAATTGTGCAGAGTATTGATCCATTTAAATTTAAGTCTTGCTACAAAATGCTATCTATAATCCTTAACATGTGCTTGATCACCCGAAAATAGATTAAATTGTATATCATCTAATTATTGTACTGACACATTTGGTACGTACTTGGCATGTGTAAGGGTGTTTAAAGTCACTCGGAAAATAATTATTTATGCATGTTACCTTTGCAGTGCAATATTTGTGCGTGTCTGAGGACGCGGAGCTATGCGGCGCGCGGGCAGTGGTCCGCGCGCGCGGGCGGCACGCGGTGTCGCTGCGCGTGCAGTGGTCGCGCCTGGAGCGGCGCGCGCGCGCCACGCCCGCCGCCTCGCTCGCCTCCGTCACGCTCATCACCGGCGCCGAGTACACGCGACGCAGGATACTCAAGTAACTATACCACTAATAATACTTACTACTATAATATTCAGAAATTTATGTATTTTTGCTAGCCCTTTTCCATCTAGTTTGAGAACATCACTGTTGTGACTAGGTGTGGAATGTATGAATGATTGTCAGTATTTCATTTTATACATGGACCTACTGCTACCTGGATGTTTGTCCGTATTTTGTTGTATCTATCAATATTTTTAAATTATATTTTTGTATTCTTATTTATGTCCATCAACTAAATCCCAGTATGTAGGTAAATGTCTTGTATTCTAAATTAATTGGCTTTGATTTTAAAAATATTTCTGTTATTTGCTTAGGATTGTCCGTGACGAATCAAATGGGGAGCTGGATACTTCCCTGCTACCTAACCACTTGAAGGTGTTAGCAGACACATTCGATGGAGAGGATGCATGTATGGACAATCAATTAGCAGATTTCAAGGAAACAAAGGTATGGAAATATTGTTCACAATTTTAAATGTCAGTTTATCTATTTTTGCCATCCTAAGAAATCAATTATTATTAGGATAATCGCCGAAACATTTGTCTCAATATTCAATGCACAAAATAAATCAATAAATGCTAATTGTGATATACGATGCCGTGATGGCACAACACTTGAAACTAAGGCAAGCCAACACATATTTTTTCTTTCCTTAATTCCAACTATTAATTTTATGAAATGTCAATTATTTTTTCTATATATGGGATGTGCGTCAAATAAAATATTTATTTTTTCCTGAAATATCGTTACACATGAAAATTGAGAAATGAATGAATGAATTTTTTCGTTTTTCATACTCTCCTAGATAACGTTTCTGACATCTTCATCAATATAACATCTCTGGAATGAATGGAGATACATATAATAGTGGAGATGCATTATAATGGTCACATTTTCTTTTCAGGCGTCATTAAACGAATTGATAAGTGGTCTGCAGGAACTGACGGCTCAAATAGACTTGCCACAAGACTTCGCCGAGGAGAACACTATCATCATAAGTGACGACACGGTTGTCGAACATCACACACTCTGCGATTGAACCGGTACTTATCATTATTTTATAGCATTTCCTGTGGATGCATTCAATATTCAGTACAATTAGTATTAAACATAATAATATGTATTATGCTCAGTACTAATTGTATTTCAAAGGTGTACTGCACCCTAAGCTAGCGGTTATTTACTAAATTGGAGTTCTGCATGAGTGATTGGGAACAACACTGGACATCTCGGGATTATTTAAGTTCGGAAATGGTTCTTTAGAATACATAGAATGTCTTGACATAGCATGTAAGGAGAATGTATCCACAGCAAATGTATATATTTAAGTCTTAATTTATGTAGTTATGTCTTCTGATAATATTATGTTACTCAGTATTTTAGTTGTATGTTTTTAATATATAAACCTGCGATTTAAAAATGTTATGTCTGAAATTTTTAATGAATTATATAGTTCTGCTAGCGGATGTTGTCATAATAATTATACAAATTATTGGAAAAAACATTTTATATTCAGTCCGTCCTTTGAGGCCTCTTTCAATGTGTTTTAATATTGTGATATTTAGTGAAGTGGGCATATAGAAATAATAAAAAGTAGATTTAATTTATATCATTTATTATTTTCTTAACTATATTTATTATTCCAATCGTTTTTCCTATTTTTTTTAATCATTGTATCTAAGAGATTCGACTGCCGATCGCAGTTATCCATTAGAAATGACCTTTTAAAAATATTGCCTACAACTTATAAAACTAAAATGCATTTCCACTTACAATAATTCATTAAACACCGCAAAATGATAATAATCTTTAATATATACAGGACTAAATTTGACGATCCGTAGAGTTCACATGGTTATTTGTTGCTAGTAAATATACATACCGTCTTTTGCAGTAAACCCCTTACATTGAGGATGTAGACAGAAGTGCGGGAGATAGAATGATAACATTATCCACGTAAAACAATTTAAATTGGGTGTTCAAATAGGAAAGTGTTGGTCCTTTCGAGAGGTTTACCATAAATGACTGTCAACAATACATCGAACTTGGTGTATTTTATTTATATTATGATTATATCTCATACGCAAGTATCTTATACATTCGCGAGTACGTCGAACACGCCACACGACACGCTCATTGGCTCTCATATTTCTGGTTGTACTATGCCATATGAAATGCCACATAATCAAAGATCAATTAATTGATAGTACCCGCACTATAAATAATTTGAAATTCGAATTTTGAAACTTGATCATTTATAAAATTGAATGGTTATTAAATAAATAATACATTCTATTCGACTGTTAAGTCCACAGTTTTTTGGCCAATACGTAATTTTTTTGGTGTATAGTGCAATGTTCTATTTTGTTGTACATACATAGTTTCTAATGAGTACAGAACGTTTTATTTTTTTTTTATTCTTGCGATTATAAATACGAATTTATCTATATTTAAATATAGAATCCATATATATACATACACATAATAATAACATGTTTAAACGTGCGAAAAATATGCACTAATTAAGATCGAAAGAGTCTTTGAAGAAACTTTAAATGTAAAAATACAAAATTTACTGATACTCCACTTGGCAAAAGGGAAAAGTGATAGAAATAATAATAACAACACGGATTTATTATTTTCTCCAGACAATTGCTTTTGATACAACATTTTTAAACATCCAATAATTAACAACAAAAGATTAATTTGTGATTTATCAGTAAATTTCTACATAAAAAGTATTAATTTTATTGTAAATCGTAAATATCTATATAATCAACATACTTGCGTTGATTTGAACGTTCAATCAATCAATCAAACATCCGATATATAGAATATTCGTTTTATTAACCATTCGATTATAAACGTATCAATATATTTGGATTTTCGTTATGTTCGATCAATTGCTATTTGATTATTTGGCGTTCGATATAGCCGAGTACAGTCCATATCTTCTTTTCTTACATTGCACATTCACACATCTTGCATTTGGCAGTTTATCTTAGTCATTCTCTGTCAATATTCACATAAAACTCATCACCAATACTAAAGTGCAGCTTACTGACATGCTGCGTAAGAATAAATTTTATCATAAAATGTACAATAATTATTTATGGAGATAAAATGTGAATATTAACATTGTTACAAGTGAGCTCCACTTGGGATGTCTACCTTGCCATACAATCTACATTTATGAAAAACTCTTATTAAAATGGAAGTACTTACACATCTTTTATAAAGGTTATAATACAACTAATTGGATCGAAATTGGCTGACAAATTTGTTATTAGTGCTTTGAAAAATACTATTTTCATGAATTCATGGAATTACATCTATAAGTCCTATAGTCGCAAAAGAAGACATTGTGGAGACACGATTCGCAAAATACGCAGTCTAAATAACCTAGAAATGAAATAAAATTGCTCCAAAATATTATAGCTAAATATCTGACACATTTGTTATGGTTGCGATGCGTCGTATAATATATACACACTCACACATTTTTTACAATAGGAATTAAAACATTAAACTAAAGTAAACCAGTCGCTTAATGAGCTATAAAATAGATTGCCAACGATACACTGGCCTATCGCGGGCCGCGCGGAGCTACGGCCCGCCGTAATGCTATTGTTATGACAACAATGACATCTCTAACATCTTTATTAGTAATTGCCGAGGCTCGTGAGTTACTTTTTATAATTTGCAGTTGTTCATTCTAAATTATTTAATAACAAGTTAAATACGATTCTCTGCTATGGACAGCAAATATTTACACCACCCAGGGCAGAGAACGCACTTTAAAGAGATCAATATGGCTTTATTCATGTGGCTTGCATTAAGAGTTGAACAATGTTAATAACACAGGTTTTGGCATTATTTAATGCCACATTTGTCTTATAAATATCTATCGTATATAAATTGTCCATATTTGTCGGTAACAGAATAGTACCATGGTCTTTAACCATAAACTTCACAGAACAGAATGGGTCACAGCTTACATTCCATCACTACTAATTGAGGTTCCAAAATCGACATACAACGAATGAATACAATTTGTGAAAGAGTAATTAATGTATTGAATTCAGAGAAATGTATGCTGATTTCAATTTGTCATTAAAGTAAAATTATCACAGATAACATTAAAATAAAAGTAGGGGGTATTCGTATTGGAATAACTGCAGGGTGTGTCAAAACAATTTCAACTAAATCTAAAGATTACAGATTTTTTGTGTGCTTATAATAAATTACATAATTTTTGTATTCAGTGCCGCTATCGCGATCGGCATCGAGTTGCGTGAATTCAATAGTTCTATGTTAGAATCGATTACTTGTATCAACGCAAACCGCACAGACGTATGAAATGTTTGTTGTACACTCGACGCTCACCGCGACACTTCGTCACTAAATTCTAATATGTCAGAATGATTCCTTGAGTTCATCTTCAGTTTATCGCTTCTGTGGTGTTACACTTCATGTCGGACAAAATCGTTTATTCTTAATTACAGACTTGACTTTCTACAACATTATCTTTGTCTATTTTTGTTTGTACCCCTCGTATTCGTGTGCTTGGAAGTCATAGTTGCCGCCAACCGTAAAGTATTAAGTCACGAAGTGACTGCGGCGGCCCTCGGGCAGACAAGGACTGGCTTTCGGATAGGAATCACAATTCCTGCCGGCGTCGTCCTAGTGCTACAGTTCATAGGAAAGTCAGCCGATCTCCTCTCGTTAATAATTTCGTCTTGCCCTCGGTAAAACGTCGCGATCTCTGAGTGAACTCGGGCGCCGTCGCAGTCCACATCGTCGGGTTAAGTACATGAAGCATTGTAGGGGGAAAATCTAATGTGTGGCGGGGGCGGCGGGCGACGATGGAGGCGGCGGGGCGCGGGGCTAGGGCGCGCGGTACAGCAGGTAGGCCGTCAGCGCGGGCGGCAGCGCCAGCCGCGACGCCACCACGCGCAGGCGCGCGCGCCCCACGCGCTGGCGGATCACGCGCCGGCACAGCTCCATCAGCGGCAGCGGCTCCGCTGTAACACGTCACCGCTTATTATTAACCAAGGGGACAAATAGCATTTGGGATAGCAGAAGAATTGCTTTCGACAGTTTTCTGTCGGCAGTCGCACAGCCTTAATGGAGTCCTGAGAATGATTTTTGAAAAGAATAATCTTGTTTGTGGCCTATGAACCACAAAAAATACGTCAATTAAATAATTGGTACATAATTTTATGTATGTAACTGATCCCTTAGTTTACGATTTGTCAAAATTTCGAACGTTGATAGACATTTGAAACATTTGGGTAGGAACCTTGAGATTTATAAAAAGAGGTGAAGTTAATGTTTGGTCAAATAATAGTACACTCACGATCTAGTCCGCCGATGTACTTCATGGTTATCTCGGCATGTCCCCACACTGCGGACACGATAGGGTAGAGCGTCTTGCCCCGCAGCCCCCGCGCCGCGACACCTAGATATCGCCCGTCCGCACAGAACGCCAACGTGCCCTCGTCCATGTCTAGTACTACCAGCAGTCTGTCGGGGACTAGGAACTGCTCGTCGGGCCTTAGTAGCGCGGGATACGTCGTACCACTACCCACCGTGCCCTTTACATTGTGGTAAATCTGAAATATGACGAAATTGTTATCAAATCAATGATCATTAGGTTATCAAACGAAAATGACAATGCCAGATCGTGTCCTAGTAACTTTATACACTCTAATCTAATATTTCTATATCTTAGACATTTTTTAATATGCAACATTAAAAAAAATACAATTTGCAGTAAAACGTGGTCGCTTAAAAGCACTATAATTATATTTGAAAGTCTTCTTAACGGGCCATGTTTACTGCAACATGTAACTTGTGGATTCACTAGTGAAAGCTAATAGCCCAGCCGGCAGAAATATTTTATTGTAACTGATAGTTATAAAACGGTGAATACATGCATGAATAAAGTAGTCCTTTAAAATCTTATCACATATTTATTTTGATCGTAATCTTAGTACTCAATATGATCACTCGAACAAAAAATATACGTTATTGGCGGGCGATGTCAAAAATTCATAGCATTCGCTGGCTGTTTTTATCCGACTGCAGGAAGGGTATTGTATTTATTGTTTCTTTTACAATCTCTGATTGATGTCCCTTATTTATTTCATTATTTTTGACACAATTGTTTTACAGCGCAATTTCGCTACATCTAGAAGAAAATCTGCATTAAACTTCTTCCTAACCTAACTCTTATATGTCAACACAAATAAGTGGCTTGTTCTAAAGTAATATGGATATTTTAATAATTTTATGTGAATAAATATCAACATGTTGGCAAATATTCGATTTCGAGTCTGGGAGCACCCGTCAGTAGCAACATTTGATACACCGTAGGATAGGGCTTCTTAAATATTATATGTAAATAATAGTTACTAGCATAATAATAGTTACTATGGTCAAATGTTTGTGTGTTCAGAGATACGACGTCCTAGTCATACCCCAGTCCAAGGTATTTTTTATGGATATTTTACAACATTTTTATTACCTTTATAGATGTTCTTTCTACCTAATATTAAAATCATACAGGATAGTAAAGGCGATGAGGCGATCCAAGGTATGCTTGCCGAGGCTAGTATTTGGATGGGTGGCAATTTATGACCGAACTACCTTCCTAGTAGAAGTAGTAGGGATGTAAACCATTAATTTTAGAATGTTTATTTATTTAGTCTTTAATGTACACAATTTAATTAAATAATGGTACTTAAGGCGAACTTAATGCCACACGTCATTTCATCACTGTTTATCCCGTAAGGAACACTAAATAACTCCGAAACCACACACTTTTGACCTGAAGTCCGTAATACAAAGTATTATTCCGCGTAAGAATACCTTTCCATAGAGGGATATTTTATTTATATTAAGAAGTGGCATTGTCATTTCTGTTTATTTGGACATTTCATAACATATAGGTTATATCAACATACCTTATTTCTGCCCAAATCCCAGCCCCAACTCTGGTCCGTAGCGCCTACTAGACTCTGGTAGCCGACAGAATGTAATGGCGCATGCGCTGTAGCCACACCTACTACCGCATGCGTCCCTCGCTGCCGCGCCGGCCATACTACCTCCCAACAGTGCAAGCCCCGAGAGTAACCTACCCGCCCTCTGATGCAGTCCGTGCTTTGGGCGACTGGGTGTCGGTGAAACGTTAAAGCATCCTCTTCTTTTACAAATATGTTTAGTGATCTGGAAAACAAAAACGGTCATGTTAGAATTTACTATATTTACATGGAATAATCTGCATGGAAGCAGTCTAGGCAGATTGCTTAACTGAAACAGGCGTTTCAAAACGTCAAATGGTCAATTTCCGAATCCAGCAATAAGATCCATATGCTGTCAGTTCTTGCTTGTTTGTACCACTATAGAATTCGTACCTGTCGTCTGGGTTCCACGCGTGTTTCAGCTGCAGCTCGGGGTGCGCAGGCGGCGCGTCGAGAAGCGCGTCCAAACGCGCGGGTCGCGGCGGCTCGGGCGCCAGCTCGCGCGCAACTACCGCCTAGATGACCAAATAAAAGAAATTAGATATCATCAATTCATCGAGGCAAAGGTAGGCGAGGGTAGGCGGTAAAGGTCGGTTCAATAGATACTAAGGTTAGCTGCGCCTGGTGAAATTGGTCGGATATTTCATCGGTGTTAGAACCTAGGATAACCTTCAGCTCCAATTAGCTTGAGAATCTTGAAAGTTATCAATTACATTGTCATTGAGGGGAGGCCTATGTTCAGCAGTGGACGTCTTACGGCTGATAATTATAATGATGATGATTATTATCATTATTTGATTGTCATTATTGATTGAAGCATTACAAATAAAATAAGTCTACCTTGAAGGGCGCCGTGCACTCGCGCGACACCGACTTTACTCCGCCGGAAAGCTTTTGCCCCATGTTCATGCCCCTACAGCGAGTGCGGGCGCGCTTGGGCAGCGCCTTGAGGCCGCCGCGCCGCGCCTCCTCTGCGCCGCCGCCGCCCCCGCCCCCGCCCCTCACTGAGCGCACCCCGCTCTTGTACCTGAAGCAAGAAACAATTTTTTTAATATTAAAATTGAAAAATATGCAAATAGGCTGTAACGAAATTTGCTTGAAACAGGATCTCTCAAAGAATATTGTAGGTACTCTTGTTGTATATGCTGCGCAACAATCACTTCCTGACGGATACGTTCAATAACAGATGGTTATACAAATGTATTGTCAAAGTTCGAGGAAACCGGTTTCTAAGTGACCGGTGAGTGGTGGTGTCGTCACAGCAGATGCCGGGCGTCGGCGGAGTACCCGCTCATCTTATGTAATGCCGGCCGTCTAACCGTGAAAGTCACCGCTCAAAAGCCAAGGTTAACACGGCCATGGAACCTCGTTCCAACACATGCGAATGTTCTATGATGGCTTCTTGTTAATAGATTTATTTAATTGCTGTTTATTTTTCCTCTGTCGTGATGTCATGTAATTACTCAGTTTTTCTCGACATACACCTAGTTTATTTGTCGATATGCACATAACTTCCAAATATTAGCTAGGTAAGTTATTACAGTGCAAATGGTCACGCGCGCTTCTATTAGTCCATAAACCTGTAATAATCAAGCCCATTGAAGGACAGTAATAAAATAATAGTGATACTAAATATAATTATTTAACATGGTTTGAGATCATTGCCATGGGAATCACTAGCTTCCTATGTGATTTCTTTGTTTAGTATTAAGGGACCTGTCAGTGAACTTCTATTATAATAAATGATTGTTCGTAGTTGAATTGATCGTTCTTTATAGGGTTCGTGGTTTGCAAGTGATTTAGTGTACAATTTAAGTAGGATGAGAGGGACGCCTCGATGGTACGCAAGCTACAAGGCCGTCTGCCTTGCCGTCGCCTAGAGCGGTGTCTTGACAAAAGCGGGAAGTGAAAGGCAGTGAATGCGTCCCCTCACGTCGCACCGCCTCTTTACTACGTTCCAAAATCTCTGTTTGGTAGAATACTGCAATATTATATGATGACAAGAAATACTTTTAAACGTAATGATATTTATTAATGATATTATGTAACCATTAGTTATAGAGGTATAAAAAAGAACCTCACAACTTATTTAATTATTCAAGCTTTTTTTGTGGGGTAAACATGATCCTATGACTTCTCCCGCCTTGAGTGAAGTGATCAGTCTCTTACTGACTAAAACCACAGTCTTCCTCCTGCTTTGGGCTGGTTGTTCGCAGCTCCGGGAGTCATTCAAGCTTGGACTTAAAATTTCTAAGTGTTTCCTCCCCGTATATTATTATTATAACGAAAAAATACTTATTGTAACATAATGTGACCAGCTGTTGAAATTAACCAAATGCTATGTAAGTACCTAAGCATGTATTTAATATAGCATCTGTTTATATTTGACCGATAGCGAGATAATCTGGAGAGTTCACGTGGCGGACAGTAAACAAACAGAGAGGACACGTGATCAACCTATCTATGACGTCCTCCTCCACGCGTGTGCTAATTCAACGTTAACGATTACACATTTTTTGACGAACTACATACATCAATTTTGCAAAAAATTAGGATTATGTACAGGATGATAAATAATTTGTACACGTAATTCAGCGATCATGCAAATTCTCATGGAAAATTTGCTAATAAAATCATGTGGTACTGAAATAGCTGTGATATCACTTTACAATTGGAATGTCAGCCGCTATCGTGGGAAAAAACAACTCGCTGTACTGGTTGATAGTTATGGCAAAGTTTACTAGTATTCTGACTTTTGTCATTCGGAAATACACGCTGTCAACTGGTGTTCACATGCAACCAAACCGTTCACGCTCGGTGAGAGGTGAATGGAACACTGGAAGAGAACGTTGCTAGGCCGACAACATTAGCGTGTGCCAACGTGCGCGAACAATGAACTAACCGAGTGACGTAGGCTCTGCTGTGTCACTCGTGTAAATATAAAATCCTAAACCTAAATACTTATTCTGAATTAATCAAAAACTTGGTAACTAAAATTAAAGAAAATGAGAAAACTACGTTCATTACCTAACAAAACCACATAGATTCAGCAAAACATACTGCCATTAGCAGCTTACTTTTTATTATTTTTGACATTTAACTATCGGACAGTTAGGTTCGAAGGATTCTCTGCACACGAATCATTGAAGCAAAACGCAATTAAATGGTATTATGTAGTTACAACAACCTTACAAGTAGTAAACATGTACATGTTTGAATAATAATAATTGCGAATGTTCTACTGGAGGTTGTCCATCACTAGACGCTTACAGTATTTAACCATAAATTGCACTGTAGTAATTACAGCAAAAATGTGAGAAGTGACAACATCTTTCAAGTTCAAAGTATAATTACAGTAAAGGTGCTGTGAAAATGAAGTCTGTTAGTGGCATTGGGCTTGACAATCCAGTAACCGATGTATTGATAAATAATGCGTGTCAACTTACGGATTTTTGTCTTTGCGCTACTTCACCTGGCATGACTAGAAGAATTATGCAAATAAGTGTTGTGACACAGTCACAAGTTTATACATCATTTTTAAATCTTTTACTACATTTTATGTAATTATCCGACTATTTGCATTTCAGTCAAAATTCAATCGATAGTAGTGTGTAATAAAGCTCTGATTGCCGACATTTTAATTTGTAACGCAAACAAAAGTGTCATCTACATGCGAAATTGAAACGCTGTCCCGAAACTGAATTGAATTCGGAACCAACGGGAATGGGAGGATTAATTGTTAATTGAATCACAGCATGTGCATTTATTATTTAACCGAATTTAAAACGATACGATGCCAGACAGTGCTTAATGAGAATTGAAGAGGATATTGTAAATAAGATATTGTATTTCAACCCCACTTAGTATTTACAGCGAAGCGCATTTATCGCGAATTTTAAATTAAATATGTAATTATTTCTTGCCCCTTAAAGGTGTTAAAAATCAAGGTTCGCCTGCGTGAACATACATTTCTCTCGACAGTTGTAGAAAGCGACGATTTCGATTCTTGGGTCATCTTACGAAAGAGTCACCGAACGATGTCGCGCCACCTGGAGGTATGCGCTTAATTTTAAGCTGGCCTTTATGCGCTTATTACTTTAATTTTAACAGCAAAGAGCACTTTTCGATTGTTACTTTTGGTTTGCCCATAAGATTGATTACTTTAATCTCAAAAAAATTGATACTGTGAATTTCCCTAGATTTTTTTCTTAAATGGTCTGTGTTTCTTTAGTTCTGATATTAAGCTGCTATCTCTGACTTAAATAACAATTAAATAATTGCTAGGGCGTGTCGCTTCAACCTTGTATCGGTTGCCGCGTTGCAACAGGGCCTTGTGTCAAGGAAAAACCTACTTAGCAGTTTCCCTGGCCCCGAATAGTAGCGAACATTTTTATGCTAGTTTTTTCAAACAGTTTCGTAGGTCTATTTTAATCACTGAAATCTAGATAGACTTAAATCCCGGTGCACGAGCAGTTTACTTGTTCACTGAGATGAGTATTTGTCGTAAGATGTTGAAGAAGACTATAATATAAATAATTAAATATTTACAGAAATTTAAACAACCCTGTATGGTGTGTCTTTAATGAGTGGTTTTATGACACTCGTCATGTAGCGATGCTGGTCTGTATGGGTCCGGCAAAGTATTAAAATTTTCAATTACATACCAACCTAATTTGCATAGATGGCGATTTCCAACTTATTCTTAATGAATGAAATTGTCATTATAATATTAGAGGGTTAATAAAATGAATAATTAATATATAGTACGGGATCATATATAGTATATATAGCATTATATAGTACGGGAGTTGTGAATGCGTACTTTGGCTATCGAAGTTTTTGTTACACTATGAAGAGTGTGGTTATGTTATGATCGGGTTTGTATGCCGTTGCGGTGCATTAGTCGACAAGTTGTATGATATAAGAGGTGTTGAATAACGATAGTGGTGGGTGACGATTACATAACGAAACGGTATGACGCGGCACGTGCATGCTGCGGTGCACCGCGCCGCTTCTCGTGTCAAGGATGCCTTTGCTTCACCGTATTATAAAGAAGCTATCAAGCTATCGTGCCATGGTCGAACAATACCTAAAGATTAATTTGTCTATAAATAATTTTAATGTAATTTATATTTTTCGGAAACACAACAGGAAACTTAAACCTAAACAATGGCTTTATCCATTGACGTTTGAGTTAGTCACTTCAATAACAAACAGGTAAATTAATTATAGTTATACTACAGGCATATGGGAAATCCAGTTGTAGAAACGTCACACATATAGTAGAAAATGTCGTTAATATGTACGTGTGTTTATGTTCTGTCAACGATGTTCACCGTTTATAATGACTTTAGAAATCTAAGTCTTGGGAGTTGTGATTGACGCCGATATTGTTTGTTCATTAAGTGGGAGTGCGTTTTGTCGGGTCGAGCGCATGCGCAGCAGTCGAGGGCCTTGACTGCAATGCGCGCGCGCCGTAGCGTGTCAAGGGAGCGCTGCTTTCGCTGCCACACCTGCACCGGGCCTATACAGACATTACAGACATGGTAGAGAAAACCTAATAAGGCAATTAAAATAAACGTTCAATTTAAGTTTTGTCAGCAAATAATTCATTTGGGTAATCATAACAGTAGTGCACATTTAGGAAGGAATAGCATTAAGATAATAGCTTACAAGTATAATATTAAACGACAATCTGGGTCATTCGATATTAGTTCAACGTTAGAACACAACGGTTTAACAATACGAAGGCAAAACCAATTTAACTTAGGCCTTCTGTAAACGTGTAGGCCATAACGTGTCATGTATATTACTTATAGTCGTCTTCATGTAGTTATGCATGATGCATGTATATGGAGATAAAAATGTGCTCACAAAACGATCGTTATTAAGTGGAAACTATATTTTATCTATTTAACTAAATCTTCAAATTTCTTGCTCTCAGCGAGCAAAATGAATGGCAACACTCAATTACGTTGAATCACAGCGCTAGAAGATTCCGATTTCCAGTTCAATCGTGCGAACCAAACAAGGGCTGGTGTAAATAAATCTAAAACCCAAATTGGAGGCGAGACCCGGAGTATAAAGAAGTATCTTGCGAAGACAAAGCCGAGCAATCTTCTAAGTGGTCTGGAAGGCCGGCGCGGAAACAAAGCCACCCTACACCCCGCCTACGCTACGCGACCGCCCTCCACAGATAAGCACCCCTCCGCTTTTAAATGCCTTTAGCACCACTGAATGAGTCCGTGTCTGAGGAATCCAATGAGAGACTTAGCAATAACTTCTTTGTAAAATTTTGGTATCTATCGTCTATCATATTTTATTTATAATTAATTATGAAGTTGATTTCAAGTTACACGTGAAGTTTCATAATAAAATAACCCACAGTAAATTTCAATTGTAATCGTTTAAAATTTGTATTCTTATTTTCCTAGTCATATTTTATTATCTCATATTATAATTATGTTAACATTTTGGGCTCCCACATAGATCTGGCAGAAAAGTTTTTCAAGTGGTTTGTGGAAATAACGAGTCTTGAGTTAGAGGCACATTATTCGTTCTTTAGGAATGTTAAAAGTCTATCATATGAGTAAGGCGACGCGGCTAGTTAAAATTCAAGTTTTTTTCAGAAGCTGTCGCTTTTGGATTAGAATTGTGTAAAAAGTGCAAGTATTCAGTACAAGCTTTTCAACCTTTTACCAATCGAATTCTTGCATACATACCGTAACAGATTGTTAGTTGATTTTTCTTCCTTTTAGTAGTAGACTTAAGACTTAACAAATATAATTTTCAAAAACTCTATGTAATTTACAAAATAGATCTAAGAACATGATTATAGCGAGGTTGTTGCTAGGTCGGAGTAGCACGTGAAGTTCCTACTAAAATATGGTGTGAGCAGGAAACAACGTTATTTGCTAAGCAAATCGCGTCAACGAAGCGTGACCCAAGTTGATGACGAGGATTCAGTCGCTTCCGTGAACACTAATGGCAACCAACTTTGTTCTACAAATTCATAATCTTATAAGTAAAATGCTTAACTCGCTATAAGGTTCGAACGAAATGGTAACACAAGTGAAGATAGCAAGCGAGCAGCTCGGAACGTGGAACAAAAAACAGATTGTTTCATTTTGTTTTTCTGTGGAAGGATCAACAATGCCGTCTCGGCTTGCTGGAAACCGGTATGAAGCGCGGTGGTGGCCGGATCAAACGCCTCGCGGGTATCGACCATAACTTCAATGTCAGTACCAATACATTTCTACTTCAATGTTACCAATAATGTACACAATTATTGTGATATTATTAAAAAGTTCAACCTTAATAATTATTATGCAACTGTAATATCAATATCACTCACATAATGGTACATTTATAATATACAATAATAGCTATGATTTATCTATTTGTGACGTTAAAACTTAACTACATAACTACATTATGTTAGCAAATATTATCTTACGCCCGAATACTGAAAGGCTACTCAATTTTAAGTCGCGCATAAGTATAGTTCTGTCACTACAAATTATTTGTACAATTACAGAGATAGCACGATTTTTAAGTACAACTTAAAATTGAGTAGCTTTTAAGTATTCGGGCGTTAGAGTTGTATCAGAAAGTTATATTTAGGCAGTTTATAACGTAAAGGTTACGTTGTTGAATAAATGTGTATGTTTGTAAACGCGGCAGGAGAAAATCCTAGTGTGGGGCAAAGTTTTTTTTTAATTCGTAGTTATTTGTAAATCCAACCACTTTTAGGCCTCGATTGCCGAGGTTGCTAAAAATTTGTCGTGATTTAATAATCAAGAAATTATCAAAAATTCAACTTGATACATTTACTGACAATTGTTCTTATTTCAACGTAATAAATCTTTTCATAGGCGACATACATTTAGGACAGTCTACATTACAAGACTGTTCATGACATCTCAATATGTAAACTGAAAATGTTTCTAATAATAATAATTGCATAGTTTTTATGGAAAAAAGGAAGGGATTGATCTGGGACATATGTATGTGTAACTCCTAGGGTAGTGATTAAAATAGAAAGTGTGTACCAAATCGAATGACAATCACTTGTCCATGCAAAATGGATAAACCGGGAGCGTGCAAACTAAAAAAGCATAGGGATATACAGTATGAGCTAAAACGTTATAAATAATAGAGAGCACAAAAGGTTATGGATAAATTGTGTGGTGTGCGTATGTGCGTTGCATGGGGCTGCGAGTGGGGTCAACGACACGCACCCCGACTCGCAGTGGGGCACACAGGACGTGAGTCACTGCTGGGGTTACCAGCTGCTGTCGGCAAAAACTACCCTCCTGCCTAGCCAGCCACGCGTCCGTACGTTAAGCTTTATTATTGTACTAATTAAACTACGCTATTCTGGTGACACGCTTAGATATATTATTTTACTCTACTTTCATTTAGATAAAAAATAGCTTTGTTCGTCATATTTTTTTTACTCCGACTAACGAACTCGAACTTAATAAGATGATCAAAATAAATGTTGCATTGAGGAGTAATCTAAGTTGATCTCTTGTAGGTTTGTATCACAAGTGCAAATTTTTTACGGGCACTTTAGTGAAGTACGAATTACGAATTTGTCATCAGTTTGTTTCGCGACTACACACGGAGCTATACGTAATATCGATTGTGATGTTGGGAGTGAAAGCGGCAACATATGCGTCGGCCTCATTCGCTTTATGAAGTGTGGATCTCGGCGCCATATGGTGCGGGCAGCTGATTGAACTCATTAGACCTAAGTATATAAACACATTGTATACAAGATAAATATTTCAATCACATTTTCGACAATATACTTAGGATAAAATATAAAGATTTATGACAATCACAGTTGTGTGATTTTATTTTTACCTTTTAGTTAATGAAATAGCACGTACAAAGAGCAAAAGCCTAGGCAAGCGTCCTTCACTTAGGGCTTACTGAACATCGTGCTCAAACCAGTATTTATAAATATTGTCCGACAATACAAGTGACTCTTTTGCGTTCAGTGTACCAGTTTGTCGAAGAACTCTTTGACCAACAGAAGGACAATGCACCTAAATCTTATAGGTATTTGTTTGCTCACAATACATTGTGTGCTGCAGATTTATTATGAAGCGTGTCAGTTGCGTGACTCATGTCGTTAACTACCAAACTTTAAAGGCGGAAACTCGCTTAGAAAATGACGTAATAACTATTGTAGTTATTCATTATAATAAGATCGACGTGAGAACAATCACTACAAGGAGAAGGCGAGCGCTAGGCTGTCTTTAATCAGCACTGCTAGTTTTCCCATGATAAAGAATAGTAGTTAGGTGAAGGCATCACGCCGCGAGGCGTCAATAACCTCGTCGGTACGGATCGTGGAGGTTGCAATAAATACGACATCGGCGGCGCTGGCCTGGTCAAGAGCCTTTCAAGGCCGGGAGGCGAGGCGGGGAGTGCGCCCGCGCCCCACATCTGCGCCTGGGCCGAGCCACTCTTGCCCTACCGCTTGCATTCCACCAGAAATGAGGTGCTCTCGCAACCGACACTAATGTAATCTTGGAACTGTAAGCGACGTTAATGCAATAGCTCAAAATAGGTCTGTAAACCATAAAAGTTTCTTAACAACTTTCACATAGATAGAATACGCTTAAGCAACATATAATCATGTAACGTAGAACGTTTACCTTTTTTTATTAATGTTAGCTGATAAGAAAACTGTCAAAACATAGGAGTCTTGGTTACGGAAGAAAATCGTGACCGCCAATTTCTGAAACATCGTCGTCGGGTCACTGGTTTCGCAGCGTAGTAGTCAAGGTCACATCACAACACTAATGACTTTGTACTTGAAATTTCGGCGTTACTATGTTTTATTGCAAAAATATAATGGCAAAAAATCCCAATGGCACCAATTTCATACATTTCAGCAACGATTTCGTTTTGAACGTTACAACACTGAACTTGGCTTTGTTAATGTAATGTCGTTCTTATAGGAAGAAAAACACCTGAGATAAAACACAAACACTTATAAAAACCATCCGACTCGACAGGTAGAACGCGTTGAAAAGAGACGGACACACGTCACTCGGAGGATTCAACTTCAACAAAGGATCGGTGGATCGGTCGTGACTGGAAGCGTGGTACGACATTGCGAACTCACCGCAGCTCGAGGAAACGCGCGGCTCTTGTTCTCCTGTCACAGGACATTTCGTTTATTCACAAGTTCACTTTTTAAATCACTTCACCAACAACATGTAGAAACCATAGTTGCGAACAGCACGCAAGCGTCCGCGCACCTCGAACACTACCAGCGGCGGCGAGAGAACGCGCGCACTGAACCACGTTCGGTTGCCGCGAGCTACCTGCCGTTTCCGCGGCGCGGTGAAGCGGAGGTGCGCATCGCGGCGTATGCGCAGGTATAGGTACCTATAGGCCGCAGAAGGGGGTTAACCACTCTCCTGAGCTGGGGACCCTGATGCCCACCAGGACTCAGTTCCTTTCAAAATAATGTCAAAGAAACCGCTATATTGCACTATAAAAGATCCAGTCTTTACATCTTGACATAAATGTAATTCGTAAAGTTGTTAAATAAAATAGTCCGGAAAGAAAAAATACGCCCATTTATTACAGAATGACTCCTAAAATTACGACAGTACAGTTTATTTTGATTTAACCCGGAACGTAGATCTACACGAGACAATGTATTTTCTATTGTGTCTCATATACCGAAACTCGAGAGGTTAACTTGTGTTGTGTGGAAATAAGTAACATTATGTAACTAGCTGACCTGACTACGTATGGATTTTTTAAATTCGTAGTATTTTTATTATACTTACTGACCGTACCGTTTAAACCTTTCCTTGACTTCTACAAATAATAATTCGAGACCAAAATTAGCAAAACGTTCTCGAGTTTTAGCGAGACTAAGGAACAGTAATTAATTTACATACATAAGATATAGATTAATTACATAAAAAAACAGCTGTTACTTTTATATGACGTCTGAAATGCATTGCCAGTGCAATTGACGATAATTTAAACCTAGCAGTAGCTAAAAGTGAACTTGTCGCGACATTTATTATGTGTGATCTTGTAACTTATTTTGTGGGTTCGGATTTGATCAAATTAATAAGGGATATTTTTAAAATAACCACGGTACAAGAGAAAAGTCTAACGTGCTACAACCTATTTAAAAATATAATAGTGACACGTGTACTTCATTTGAAAACCTTTCTGACGATCGTTCATTTATTTAGAAGAGAAACCGAGAGTTAAGTTGAAATTATGGTTTTGTCCTAATTTACATGTGAATTATTGTTCGTTCAAATATGAGTCATTTTTGAAGTCTCGGCCAACTTTCACCAGCACTCGTGCAACAACAATTAACCGAATGATATGTAGGTTTTCCGATGACCCTTTTATTGGACATGCCGGGAGATCCAAAGTGTTTGAATTTTACTAATGAATAATAGTTTTAGACAAATACAAAATAGCTAATGTACCTTACAAAAACAAGATTTTTACTTTAATTAACAAACTTGAGTGTACCGTTAAGCGTGTAAGGCTCGAGTTTTAAACAGACGAGAATATGCAAATAGCTTTTCCCTTTGTCTGGACAAAAGAACTGTTCACAACTCGCATTAGTACCAGCAAAGAAAAGCTGGATCCCATTAGGGACATTATAATAATGGTCTTTTAAATACAACCAAAAGACGATCATGAATTATGAAAGTTGGAAAAGGTTTTGTACTTTGCAGAGAGTAATACGAGTCGTCGACGAGTGTTACCTGCTCATGTTTTGATACAGAAGGGCACACCTGCGATGGGTTGTGACGTCACAAAGTTCCTTCACCTGTCTGTCGGTCGGTTATTCATCTTGTCCCATGACAGTATAATAGCTACTTAGATTAAGTTAGGGCCGATGCTAACAATCGGCGTATCAATGACAGTGTATTTTTGTACGAAATGAACAATTTTTCTAATTAGAAATACCAAAATTTTCGTCGGATTTATGAAGTGAATGTTACTTACAAAAACACATGTGTCAAGTATTTCTGAGTGAAATAGGTTTGCTGTTATTTAGTATTCTCGTTTATACATTGAACGTAATAGGTAATATTGTTTGTAATAGATGTGGTATTTTAGCTAATGAAAACTGATTTATTTGTCTTGGTTCATGTCACGACATTTTAAGCTAACTTGAGGCATATCTTTCCGCTAGGTAGACCGACAACATAGTCAGATTCGCGGGTAGCCCGGTAGCCGTTGGGTGCAAGGGGCAGTATACGGTAAGAGCCGTAATAGAGAGCGACGGAAATAAGCGCGATCTATAATCTAATTCGAATAATTTATGTTTGCACTTTAAAGTAAAGCTAGGTACTTATAGTATTGCAGACTAGAACGAATATATGTAGTAAGTTTTCCAAAAGTTATACATCTATAAGATAAACATCATAGGAGTATCTAAGAAGTAAGTACTCTGATGACACTGCAGGAAATGACGAAATGGGTCATTCATGAAACTACAATAGATACAATAATGGATTGTTTATGCGAAGGTGACGATAATATCTTTAGCTGTTGTCGTCACAATTGAGTATATACCTATATTCAACTAGAAATAGAAAAATTTCATAACTCAAGGTTGGTTACTTCTCCCGGTAGACAGACAGGAGTGCACATAGGTAATTTAATAATGGCATAAGTACTAAGTAAAAAGTAAGTATTTTTCCATAATATTACTGACGACACCTAATAATATCTATCTACTCTTCCAAACCCATGGAACGAACTATCTGCAGTTCTGCTGAACAGGCGCCCAACCGACAATACATCTAATATTTATAAAATGATTGTGAAAAAGTGTATATTATCAGACTAAGCTCCTTACTAAATGAAACGGTGACAAGAGAATATACAACACCAAATTAATGACCTTTTGTTTAGGTAGATACTATGACAAGATAAATAGCATATAATGTAAAGTGCCGTGAATTTCAGAGTGTTTCTCTGGTGCTTGGGTTGTTTCCGCGGCTCGGCTACAAAACGGGATGTGAATTCCCACCGGAATCCTGAAACGACCCTCTTGTTTTTTCATCACTACCGAAATATCATTGTTGCCTCGCTCCCGTTGTTCTGAGCGTAATTTAGTTTATTGTACAAAAGTCAGAAACTGAGAGGAGGCGCGTAGAAAACGAATCTAAAGTTAAAAAAAGACGAGGAAAATTTCGTACAATACTCAGTTTTCATGATGTTAACCTTTTGGTTGTGATAAATGAAGACTTTCATGTAAATGTATTGCTGAATTGATTCATTGATTGGATATGAAAAATATACCTTATAAGTATTAAGGCACAATAATTCCCGAATTGCCGCATTGGATACGAGATCGGAAGTTATACATTATAATCATAACGCATTCAAAACAGACATTAGATGCTGCCGCAGTAAGTCGACCATTGCGAAAACGTCGACTGCCCAATATTACCAACAACGAATATCATAAAATCTGAATCGATAGCCTATCGTGGCTTTGAATATTTATGGATATCGAAAACACGCTCAATGCGACCAACACAATAAAGTGATAGTTATGGATTTAATTTACGGCACTACATTTGAACATTTGGAAGTTCATGCAAATATGTTAGATAGCAACTTTAAAATAGAAAAAAAAGATTTAGCTAGCAGAAGTAGCAGACGTTTACGTGAAGTCCGTATGTTAGGAACATAAAGGTTCATGGTATGCACCACGTACATAGCAGGTTAGGTACGTAATAAAAAAGCTAAATGCACGCGAAGCCGCCATTAGGAAATGGGCGCCGCCGCAACGAACAGACGATAACGATTTCACTAGGCGGCCATAGTGAATGGAGAAAATTGCGCTTTTCAGCGAAATGAAAGCCCGCTACCGTTTCAGAATTCCTGCTAGATAAAAAAAGATATTATAAATTTTCGGTTCCGCCTCTCTTTTGCTATTTATATGCATTCACGCTCGCAATAAATCCTCCGACTTCTGCTAAAACTGCATGTTTCATTGTTATTGAAATATCGTACTTACTATGATTTTTGATGCTTTTGTTAAGGTTTAAAGTTTTAAAGTAGTTAAACAAACACAAATTAAATTAATAACATAAATTACGTTGCATGCAATTTTAGAATATGTAAAAGATTTTTAGATTATTATACTATTGTAGCTGCAAAAACTGAATTATGTACTTAGTAGATATTTTTGACAAGAATCATGTAATTACTGGTTTTCTTACACCTATTGAAGGCTGTGTTTTATGTAAAACACGTTTTCAGGCAACAATCAGGATTTATATTCACGGCTTTCTTTTCCTTATCTCCTTTATTTATCTCTGAATATTTTCTTTCCTTTCCTTTCCGTTTTTTTATGTCAGATTTTCCACTTAGTTTCAATTTTGCGCAATTTAGTTTTGTTACGATATTATTTCTTACACAGAAGATCTGTCACTACGATTTACACAGGGTCACAGGTATCAACCTAAAACGTGATTAAATAGTTTTATTAAAATCGACATAAGCTAAAAACATTTCCGATAAATGTGCTTTATCATAATTTAGAATACAGGTTACAACTCTTACTAATTTTATGTTCATTAGTATTAATGGTGTTGTAGTCATTGATAAAATATTTCATATTGTAGTTGACAAGTTAATGTAGTTTCATTATATTTTGTGGTTTCCTTTTCTTAAATGTAAATGCGTATTTTTGCTTACTTTAGTTGTGAAGTTTTTGTTAGACGAAGACGAACTAATGGCCGATCGCCGGAAGTTGGGCGACATTGTGCCTCGAACACCACAACTAGGAAGAGGAAGAGATTTGTCTTACGCAATAAAGGTCGTCGCGAAAACGCAAAAAACTTACTTTGTTGACAAAATTCGCACGCTCGTGTCCTCACCTAAGCATTAGTTGTGATTTGTGAATGTTTGTACAAATATATTAATCGTCGTTTACACACGCTCAATAAACTTAAATAATAAGTATGTTTTATTATTATTAGTGTTATATTATCACTTATCAAATTTATTTTTAAAAAACGATGAAAATTGTTATAGATATATGACTTAATAATATTTTTGGATAAAAGAAACGATGGTAAAAGACGGATGAGTATGGATCGTTAAAATACACTACAGTACCCAGTCGTGTCGCGTCGTGCTGTTATTCGGGGCTTGTTTGG